GGGTGGAGCAAGCGAAGCAAAATACATTGTTCGTTTCCTAGAGGGTAAGCTACGCCTCGGGTTGGCGGAAAAGACCGTTCTCGTTTCTTTGGCTCAAGCAATGGTATGTCATGAAATTGAAGCGAAAGGTTCCGGAAAGGTTCCAAGCACAGAACAGATGGCAAAGGGAGAATCAATATTGAAAGCAGTTCACAGGTATGTTATAATTCTTCAGATCTTGAACAAATTCTAACCAAATATAGCTCTCTTCCCAGTTATGACGTGATTATTCCAGAAATGTTGGAGCACGGCATCTTCAATCTCAAAGACAACTGCAAGCTCCAACCTGGCGTACCGTTGAAGCCTATGTTGGCCAAACCAACAAAAGCAATCACAGAAGTCTTGGATCGATTTGAAAATCAAACTTTCACTTGCGAGTATAAATATGATGGAGAAAGAGCTCAGATACATTACGTTTCTAAGGATTCTCCCAAACAATATCTTGGTGCTACGCCCGCTGCTGCTAAGCCATCTGCTGGAGGTCTCGCTGCTATATTCTCGCGAAACTCAGAAGATTTGTCCAAGAAATACCCAGATATCCTTGGCAAACTGAACACATGGGTTAAGGAAGATACCAAGAGCTTTGTACTCGATTGCGAAACCGTTGCTTGGGATATGGTTGAAAAGAAAGTCTTGCCTTTCCAGCAACTCATGACACGAAAGAAGAAGGATGTTAAGGTCGAAGATGTTAAAGTTAAAGTTTGTGTATTCGCATTCGATCTACTTTTCTTGAATGGTGAAGCTGTTGTTGAGAAATCATTACGAGAACGTCGTGCACTTCTCCATGAAGCTTTCCAACCTGTCGAAGGCGAATTCCAATTTGCTACTAGTATGAATGGTCAAGAGATTGACGAGATTCAGACATTCTTAGATGATAGTGTCAAGGCATCGTGCGAAGGGTTGATGGTAAAGATGTTGGATGGTACGGAAAGTGGTTATGAACCCAGTAAGCGAAGTAGGAATTGGCTCAAGGTATATATTCTCATCCCAATTTGTTTTCTCAATCGTACTAATATTCGCCTCAGATCAAAAAGGATTATCTCTCAGGCATTGGCGACTCTCTCGATCTCGTCGTTCTAGGAGCCTACCATGGTCGTGGAAAACGTACCTCCGTCTACGGCGCTTTCCTGCTCGCCTGTCACAACCCCCAAACTGACACCTACGAGACTATCTGCAACATTGGCACTGGCTTTAGCGAACAAGTCCTCGAAGAGCTTCACGCCCAACTCTCTGCTATAGTCATCGACCGACCTAAACCATTCTACTCCCATTCCTCAGGAAATCAACATCAACCTGATGTTTGGTTTGAGCCAAAATATGTCTGGGAAGTCAAGACGGCTGATTTGACATTAAGTCCGAGATATAAGGCGGGTTGTAAGGAAGGAGTTGACAAAGGAGGAGAAAAGGGTATTTCATTGAGATTTCCAAGATTTATCAAGATTAGAGATGATAAGAAGCCGGATATGGCGACGAGTAGTAGACAGGTGGCGGAGATGTACAGGAAACAGGAGAGTGTTACGAAGAGCAAGGGACCGAGTGTTGATGATGATTTTGAGTATTAGATCACGGGACAAAGAGGTTTGGAGGTCAAATGTCGGTTACTTTGCCGTGCTTATAAAACGATGCCTCAATAGGCGCTGGTGGGTTTGGGGGTAATTACATGAGAGCTTGTTGGTGTCAAGGGTGGGAATATAGTTGCATCGTGTGAGATGAGATGAAATGTTACAATATGGCAATAGTTACACGAGGAGATTCCTGGAAGATTACAACGCCGGATAGCTAAGTAGCATTTACACATATGTTGCAATCTCGACAAGCTCTGAGTTTACGTTATATCCCGCTTCGAGCTTTTTATTCATCTACAGGCATTCATTTCACAAGTCTCATCTCCTTGTCTAGAAGAACATTTGCTGTTTTTTAGTATCTTCGGATATTTGTAGTATATTTGAATCTCACAAGTCGATCCGAACAATAGAAATAATCGCCCGAGAGAGATCTACTCTTCGTTGCTATGCTCATGCACTGCTTCCTGGTCCTTTATCCATCAGAAAGCTTTGGACATCACCAAACACTGATGATTTACGATATTTGTGTTATCATTGAAAAAACGATTACTAAATTAATGTGCTAACAAATTATTGTACAATCAATTATGCTAGCGATCCTGCTGTGCGTATGTCTTCATATTTCGTATCACTATTCCTCTTATCCGCTTCACTCCCTTAAAATCCATTCCCTAACATATCATGCATCCCAAATAAACTCGTATCAAATTGTATCAAATCAGATCAAAACTCAGAGCCGAAACGAGGTCCTATTCCTGTCCACCATTTCCTGCCTTTCCCACTCTCTTGATTTCTCCTCCCAATCCCTCAAGTTTCTCACCTAATTGCTCACCTGCGTTTCCAAGCAAATGTCCTGCTTCCTTGTTCACGTACTCAGAAGTCGTTGTTGTTGTTTCTGTTAGATTGTTTCCCATGGCGGTTGCTCTGTCGCTTGCTTCCTTTGTTGTTGGGATACTATTATTTGTCTTTTCCCCAAGATTTTTAGCACCATTGAATACTTTATCCGAGACGTTCTTTGCGGATTGTGTAATAGTGGCAGTGGAATTTTGGGCTGTAGATGCGAGACTCGAACTATTCTCACGAGCAGATTGAAACGTGTTTTCGCCCACCGTTTTGAAAGTGTGTAAGGCGTTCTCACCTCCTTCCATGACTTTTTCCCTCGCATCGTTGATAATTGCTTTTGGCGAGGGACTGCGTTTCAACAATCGTAGAACCATGAAATAAAGTGAGAGAATGAGTTCATGTACACGATCTTTCACAATCATCGTTAATCCATGGCCTAGGAACCCTTTGATAATCTCTCCTCCGATGCCCTCGTACAATCCTCCTATTCCTTCTTCCCTGTAAATCTTGAGTATGGAATGAATGATTGTGTTTTTTCTTGCTTGCTTGGAAACATCTTTGAGATGTTCCTGTGCTTCCTGGGCAGATTTTTTGGATCCATTCTTCGTTGCATCTTTGACATTGTCTGAAAGCTTCTCAACAGTTTCTTTCTTAACTGGAGAAGAAGACCCGTCGACTTGTGCTCGAGCCTTAGCTAGACTCACGGGATATGTGATGCTACTTGCAACCGCCTTACTGACTGCCGCCAACAAAAATGTAATTCGTGCCCCTGGGTCATCGCGTTTATCTCTCGGGATGACAACACGTTTGAGAAACTCATAGAGAAAGAACGTGATGCTCGGATTGAGAGTAAGTATTAAAGATGCACTATAACCCGACCAGAGACCAGTGATGCCTTTCTTCTCTCTTATATCTGATATTATCGAAGAGATTGTTGGAGATTTTGTGCCTGAGGAAGCAGTCATCGAATGAGTTTGCTTTCGCACGACTATGTTTGATAGTGGTGTGGTGAAAAACTTCGATAACCCGCCAGCCAACGCGCCGACGCCCAATTCTTCGAGTGCTGGAAGAGTAGCTTTGGAGAGTGAGTGATGGGATTGTAGTCTTTTTGAACGAATATATCCATAAAAGAGGAAGAATAGGAATGAGTCTGCAATAGATTTGGATGTGTCTTGTAAGACACCGCTATAAAACCCGGTGATCCCTCCTTCTTCATTGTAAATCTTATCAAAGGCGTCCGCGACTGATGTATATTTCTGTGGCTGTTTGGAAGCAGGCGAAGAGGAGTTTGCGAGAGTTCTTTGGACTTGAAGACGTGTTATGATTAGATCGAGGGGATAGATGCATAGGTTTGAGATGGCGGTTCCAGTGGCGCCGCTTATGGCATGGCCGAGTGCTGGAAGAGCTGTTGAGGTCGTGGAGGATGAGGTATCCTGATATTGATGATATTGTGTAAATGCATCCTAGAGCATTGTTAGTATTGATACATCAACAGGGCGTTCAATAGTTCGGACTGGCAGATCGGAGCTTTCAATGTTTAGACATAACATAACATTCAAAGTGAATCCAATCTTTCAAATCATCTCATTTGTCCTCCTGAATTGGTGAATGGCAAATTTTTTATTGCTGAAATGTAATTCGGACTGATGGAAGCTCTATGTGAAAGGAGATAGACAAGAAAGAGGGAGGGTACAGTACAAGCTGACTATTGTAAACATTTGCCATGGCTGTTCTTTCTGGCCAAGGTATTTTGTACCTTGCAATAATTTAGATATATCGTTTTTCTCGCGGTAGATGATTATATTTTTAAAGTCATAAATTTATTGTATATTGTACAGAACATGAGATTTGAGGGGAAAATAGTTGAGGTTCATATACCAGATCCCTCGGACATGTGAAATGTACCTACCATTTACGTCATCCTGGAAGTATAAACAAAAGGGGGAAACAGGGTTTCCCCAGATTATGCTTATATAATCAACACATTCTTGACGTCGACGCGCGCCACATCAATCATATCCATTCGGGCTTTTTGAAACGGTAGAGTATCAGAGACAAGCCACCTGGCCTCGTACAAATTGACGGTAATCATATCAAGTATCGAGTGGTTCTTGATGTCTTGCTTAAACATTAGGCCTAATTGCTCAATTCCTGAAGATCTTTAGGAGCATTGAGTGATGTCTCCTGATAACGTTTATTGGAGATTGGCTTAGTATTAGATGGGCTATTTTGACCTTAGATGAATGATGCTATATTCAATAAAAAAAAGGAAGATTGTCACTCTAGACGTCTTCCCCAATATATCAAATCCAAATCTCTCTGTCCTTCCGGTGGAGAGATTGGCTTGCATCACTTCAGGCTTCACTACTACTTTGGACAATACTAAACAGTGTTGGACTATCATTGTACCACGCATTTTTAATTATTATAGGCTCAATATAGGTTCGCTATCCAACGCCAATGTACTCGCCGATAATTCATCTCCACTTCGGAGTCATTTCGAGCTTACCAGCTCCATCGGTTTCCCTCCTTATCCACACTCTCTTCCATACCTCACCTCTTCACATATCTATTCCTTAAACCCATGCCACTTCCCCCTTTTTTCATTTCTTCTATCTTTAGTTCTTCCGCAGCCTTTTCTTCTTCCCTGTGTCGTTTCGCAATTGCTTTCTGTCTTCTCTCGTCTCCACTAAATGATCTCACCACAACCCTGACTGTGTAAACCTGTCCCTCCTCATTTTTGACAAGGTTGAATGACCTTAAATGCACACGTCGAAGCTGTTCAAGCATTATCTGTGCTTTGGCCAGTTCAGTTTCGATGAGTCGTAGTTCGTTATGCTTTGCTAACATCAAGTGGGAAATTTCAAGCTCGATTTGATCGCGGATGTTGGTTGTGGCGGTTTGGAGAGTGGTATGCCGTGGACTCTCGAATATCCTACTTGGAGTCATTAATTGGCTTGAACTTGAAGGGATACGAACCGGTGCTGCGGCTTTGGAGGATCTGTTGAGTGGACAGGGAGTTGCCACTTCGTCTTTGTCCTGACGTTCAGGTTTCACTGGAACCATGATTGGTTCTGAAATTTCTGGCGCGTCATTCATTTCCACATCCTCATAGTTGACCCGAAAAGCGTGACTAACAAGAGATTGGCCAGGATTAGATGGATTTGGGAAATTCGTATGCGGATGTTGAAGAGGCCCTAATCTTGAAGGACGTCCTTGTGGAGACGACGATGGCAGCGGCATTTTAAGACGGCTCAAGAGATTGAAGTTGAGATTGACCTGATCCACGAAGAGCTTTTGTGTTCTTTCCTCAAGAGCAACTAGGTTTGGACCAAAATTTTGAAGCTCTTTGATCTTGGCTTCTGCTCTCGAAAGACGCTTCCTTGGGTGATCTTTGTTCTCGGTAAAGTCATTGCTAGAAGAAATGCTTGAGGAGTTGCTTCTGTGTGGCTGATAAGATGGGGTGGAAGAAAGTGCACGCGTTTCCTCCGTGCCATGGCTGGTATGAGAATTATGACGAGAATAACGAGAACCATCTGGTTCCGCTGAAGGGATAGATCTTCCGAGTCTGGGTGATTGGCGAAGATCTTTCATTATGAGCAATGAAAGCGAGATGTGTTAGTGAATGTTGCTTTTAAAGTGATGGTGCTTGCATTTAATGGTTGACAATCTAACTTGATAAGGCCTTTTAGTGGTTTGAGAATGACAATCTCACTTTGCAAATTTATGATTGAAATCTATAAAGGTACGGCTTGGAGGTCATGGTCTTAGCGTGGACGAATCAATTAGAACCATAAATAAAACTAGTCATTCTCGAGAGAAAATTTGTCAACAGGCGCGGTACGTAGGAATAGTGAATAGTTTCCTTTACATTGAAAACGAATTATGCCAGATTATTTCATATAATCTCAAGAAAATTGAGGCTATCATACTCTGGCTTTGCTTTCAAGAGATGAAATGAAGGTCTCGAACATCCCAAGAAATCGAGAGTTCAGATGAGATGAGATGAGATTAGATGAGATGCCCTCGAGGTTTTCGACTTCAAATTGCACTTCCAAAGGTACAGTTTTTTAATGTTCAATAAAGCCATGGAATAATCAGGGACAAAAGTTGTGACATCTTAGGATCCACAAGATTTCAATCGGTCTCTCAAATTCTGTGAAGTGTTCAATTTTCTCCTTACCAGTTGAACCTCCTTCTAACGCGGCTTAGTTTTCCGCTTTGGTTTTTCCCGGAGCCCATAAATCCTGCTAGGATAGATTAATAATATATCCTAGGCTTGCATAATTATAGCTTTAGGAACGAATTCAACTGATATTCACGATTTTTCTGCTCCTTTTGAACTGAAGAGGGGATAAGTTATACAATGTTTGAGGAATTGAGAATCGTCGTACACAAATCCAGACTAAATCACCATCGAGTAATAAGGATATATGGTTTATTAGATATTGAAGAAAGAATAGGGAAGGAATCCACATCAGCTCCTGGCGTAAGTTGTCGTTGCACGTTACCCAGTGCAGGCTATAACGGGCTTAGCGTAGAGAGCGGATTAAAGTTTCACCGCGCAGCTGATTCGTCAGGTGATCATCTTCGAACTTTCTATCTCTTCACCAATGTTCTCGACCACATAATTTTACAGATCATCCCTCGAGTGAGATTCTAAGTATCAATACATTTAAACGCTCTTTTTCCTCAGACAAAGCCGAAATTCAAAAAGGCCATTATGTCTCACAGCAAACGTAATACTTCCCGTGCGGTCTTCACCTCCCACGAGCGTGAGTTGGCGAAATCAGCCTGGACAAGCAGTAGTGCTCGTCTATCTCGAGACTCATTTTTACCATTTGCTTCATGTCGCCTATGTCTTCTACCTGCGCGTACTCCTGTCTCGTGTAGTCATGGTGATATATTCTGTCGCGAGTGCGCGTTGAGCAATATTTTGGCCCAGAAGAAGGAAATCAAGAGGTTGGAGAAAAACAAGGAAAAGGATGATCAGGACAAGAATGAAGATCGTATGAGAGAAGAGGATGAGGCGAGAGAGAGGGCTGTAGCGGAATTCGAGAAAGTACAAATGGGACTAGAGGGGAAGACCGGAGGAAAAGGCGGCAAGATTGTAGGAAGAGAAGGAGGAAAGATTATGGTAGAGCAAGAGGTAAATGGTGAAGGTGGAAAGAGGGGAGAAAAGAGGAAGTTTGAGTTAGATGAGGATGAGCTTTTGAGAATTGCACAGGATGAGAGATCAAAAGCGAGGAGAGCTATTGATGACGAAAAAGTATGATGCTCAATCTGATAATTATGAAAATTTACTCAAACTACGACAGGCTTCCAAAACAACTTTACCTAGTTTCTGGGTTCCATCCGTCACACCAAGTTCGAATACTAATACCACTCTTCACAATATCGTCAAAAAGGCCAAACAATCGCCAGTTTGCCCCGCCTCACAACAAGACAAACCACACAACTACTCACTCCATACCTTAATTACCGTTGCATTCACAGAAGAAACCGACAGCGTCACAAAAAAGCCGCAAAGAATATGCCCTTCGTGCAAAAAGCAATTGACCAACACTTCCAAAGCCGTACTTGCGAAACCCTGCGGTCATGTGCTCTGCAAATCATGCGTTACCAAATTCATGACACCAAGCGGAGTTCATGATCCGCACGCAGAAGCGGGAACAGATCAAAACGCTGTTGCTTGTTATGTCTGTGAGGCAGATCTGACAGAGCGAAATGATGTTAAAGAGAAGGGGAAGAAGGGAGATAAGGAAAAGATCAAGCCAGGACTGGTAGAGATTAAAAGCGAGGGTACAGGATTTGCTAGTGCGGGGGGCAATAAAGTTGTAAAGGAGGACGTTGCTTTCCAATGCTGAGAAATGTATGGCTTCATGATGGATTGTATGATAGAGCGCGCGATAGATTGTGATGATCCAAGAAAGATAATTGATTTTATACCATGACTTTTCACAGCCTTTAGAATATGGGTCTAAACATGCCGCTTACAATGTCATGTTAATTTCATAGAAAAGTACTTAGACTTGATAGGTCTTGGGCTATGCCATTGAGGATACCTCAATAGCTTGACCGTTCGGGGGCGCTTTGCAAGCACTGCTTTAATGTTTGTCTTGTCATGATCCTTTCTGCTCTTTCCCTCTCACTCCCTACACTACACTCTTTCATTAGTTTTTCTATATACCGGGCAGTGGACGGCACATTCCCCCCTCACTAACTCAAGACCCCGCTCCAAACTACCCTACACACCAGCGAAACTCTGTGTTGCATGTCACTATAACCTCACTCAACGACTTAGCATAGAGAAAACATCTCTCACGATACACAAACCCCAAATCCACAATGCTCTTCTCCAAGGCTCCAAAACTTCCACTGATCACACGTACATATACAGAAAATCTAAACAACCAAAGAACGCGTACACTCAATCATTCCCTCCAGTCTACCATGAATCAGAGTATCCACAGAGAGAGCGCTCTGTACCGTCATCGATAACATTAATTGAATAGCCTTCGACTTTCATAGAAAAGGCAATGTGTGCGAATTGACTTGAGTTTTCAGACTCCTTTCTCACTCTTGCATGAAGGTACACATTGTAGATGATCCCCTGTAGCCATTCTCAACGTATCATTCACTGTGAATTCCCATAAATCATTTAATCGTGCTAGTATAGATAGATACCTTTACTTTTCCCGAAGAGAAAAGAAGGTAACATGATATATACTAAACTATGGTATATCCCCTCTTAGATGTACTATTATACTTCCATACCCCGAGCAAATTTCCACCAAGAATCAACAATTCGATATAGGTTCAAAATCATCAGGATTATTTGCAACACCACCAGATACCTACCAACCGTCACCAACTCCTACAATGTCAATTCGATCCAGAGTTTTGAAATGAAGTTTAATCTTACCCCCATCTCATCTATTATTGCCTACCTTACGTCTCTCTCAATTTTCCCCTCTTCTTCCTTCACCCTGAATTGTGTCAACTATCCTCATTTTTCTTTCGAAAACTCAACGCTCAATATCCGATATCTGGTACCAATATCTTACTCTCTACTTCCGTCCCTCCCTTCCTACCCCTCCAAGTTCACTCAACCAACAACCACCCTCATAATCATCACCCTGACGACCTCAACACCGATTCTCACTACTAGAAACAATGTACTCAATACCATCTCCAAAAAAGCTTCATGCTGTTTCAACCATACATCAAATCATCGAGAGAAGCTCTCAAAGCAGTCTCGCTTTTCGGTACATACCACTCATTTCACCTCGTCACATCATGAAATATATACCCTGCTCCTTTCCGTCCCCTTTCCTCTCTCAATCATGTAAAAGTTCGAGAATTAATACATACTTTAAACCTGAGGATGAAATCTATACTTATAGAAGCAAAGATTCCTCATTCCTCATTCCAATCTATACAGAGTCAATTCAAAGCATACCTACTAATATGATCCCATAGCGCCGACCACATTCCCTCCCCACTCGGGAGAATTGCAAGATTGATTTAGAAACCATATTTGCTCTTCATCCAAGGATTTTGACGATTCAATGAAGGTTCTGATATGTACTCATCGAATGCCATTTAAGAAGTCAAAAAATGCTTCCGATTATTTCACACTATGTTTTCTGTAGATAATGGGGAAGAGAGAGCAGATGTATCAAGAATACGTACTTCACTAGGCAGGTCACCTCGACACAATATGAGGTTCAAAACTTACAATTCACATAAAGAGCATAGAAGTATATCATGAGTCTCAAGGTACTTACTTATCAAGGTATTCAGCAACCATCAATTCCGAAATATGAGAGTACCACACAGCTAGAAAGAAAAAAGAAGTCTTCACCCTTTTCCAATTAAACCGAAGATTACCCGACATTTCCATTCACAGTGCTTCTTCCAAATTTATTCTTACAACCGAGTCAACCTACAACCCACGACCTACCCCGCGATGGCAACGCACTCGAGCTCTCACCGCATCTATGAATACCATCGCGCACTTCGTATATCCAGTACATTTTCGTTGATTCAATATGGGTTGATTAGCTCATTGGTCTAACTACGTAGCCCGTGCAATTGCAGTGGGTATTCTCCTGAGTTCTGAATCCTGATTCCTGAAGTCGAAACCACCTCTTGCCAATCGAGCCAATCAAGGCAACGTCAAAAAGCAAATGTTCAGTCAATAATTAATTATTCGCCTCCTCCTTTTCATCGTCGTACTCGTAGTCGTAGTGGATGATGAGTGGATCCGAGAACGTGCGTATTTGAAACAGAATTGACGGGTGGTAGTATGGATGTTGTGATAAACATCCCTTTATTTGACTGGGGATTTCTTTTTGCGATCTTCGGCTCCAACCATATAAGAGGGCCTTGATTGGAATAAATGAGTAAGTCCTTTTGAGAAGTTATGAATTAAATGATTTTACATGATTTCCATAGATTAAGAAGACCCTTGGAAAAATCCTTAAAACTTCGAATCGCATCAAAATTTCCCCAACATTTTCTCAATTCGTATTTGAATTCCGAAGGAAGCCAGAAAAACGAGGTACGAATCTTGAATGATAAAAATTTCAAACGTGGGGGCTGAAAAAGTTCTACATTATACTTTGCGAGTACATAATACCTGTCTGGGCACTTATTCATTCGAGCCGCAAGTCTGCGGTACAACAATAAACCACGCATTGCCTTTTGCATGTGCATAACCGTTCACTGTTTCAATATAAGGGGGGGAAAACGCAACAAAACATAGCCACAAACCTTGGGAGACACAACATTTGTATCCCACCACGTTCATCCTCTGCTTCTTCTAGAAGTCGGAAGTCGAAGCCCCTGATGATCTGGCTACTAAACTCCATTTAAAACACATCACTACCGCGTAAAGCACATTATAGCCAAGCTCATGGATTTCTTCTTGGTAGACGAGCCAATCAAGAGCTTGTGGGTTGGGATCAACGAGTCAAGGGGTGGTCGAGAACTTGGTGAAGTGTTCCTTCTTTCACTAGCCGAATTGAGAAAAGATGCCGAAGATTGATAGATGGAGAAGGACCCTGCATTAGATCCACCAGGGTAGAGTGATGGATGGATGTGTTGATTGAATTTGATTTAGAAATTTTTGATAGAAAGGGTTTGATTGGATAGTTATATGTAATCTATTTGATTGATTGATTGATTGATTGATTGATTGATTGAATGGATGAACCATGAATGGTGGTTGTTGAAGTATGGTATGTGGAAGAAGATACATACTGAGGGCGTGCTGTAACCGATAACGGTGAAAGGGCGAAGGTAATACCAAGACCGTCTTTTTAACATGTGAAAGGATGTTGCACAGAATCCAGGAAAGAAGAAGGTAAAATGAAGATGACATCTCGTACGACTAACTAATCTTTACGACAATATGATCACCTACAACAGTCAGCAACAATCAGCAACAATCAGCAACACGCAGCATCTCTTTGGTCAATGAAGAGAATTAACCTGCGGGCTGAAAAGATGCTAGAGATGCCAATGCCAATGCCAACACAAATATCACTTCCCTTATTGATTAGGGGTCGTAACTTGTACCGTTGTACAGTTAGTTCGTTGTGGGTAAGAAAAGGAAAGTTGTGGATGGACAATCAGTGGAGATGTATCAGGATGGCATGATACTGACATTGATGATTGATGATTGACGATTGATGATTGATGATTGATGGTAAAGATAGACGTTGGAGATGTTTCATTATGGAAAGGGCATCTGTCTGAGCATGTGCCTGCCCAAGTTGCCTTGCTCTTTCCTCCTTCCTGCCCGAGTATGTGTGCACAGTACGAGTTACTCTGATCTGATGGCTGATGGCTATTCTTGCTACAGTCTCATTCCTATCATCCCACCAAGTCTCAGGCGGATAAATGCTGACAACGTCTCTTATCGGATCCAATCAGATCCAATCAATTGCACCAAGAATTACGGTAAATCGACATAAATCGACATAAATTGATATAAATTGATGAATATAAATTTGAAATCTGGCCTACTCCACAACCTACACCAAATGAAGTTAGTATGAATTCTCAAAAACTGTTGAGGAGTAAAGATCTCCACTATCACTTCTCTTACCGAATCCTTAAAGTGGAGATGATGGTTTTGGGCGGGAAAAGTAAAAATAATATGGAGAAATTTCAAGGAAGATAGAAGATTTGGTTCACGCTAAGGGTTTAAGGGTTCAATTGGCATTTGGCATTTTCTCTTCAAAATTTACATGTGGTGGTAGTGGTGGTGGTGGTGGTGGGAGTAGTAGCTCGGTGGGTGTTTTGTTTGATCTGTGTGTCTATTTGTATTTGTATTTGTATTTGTATTTGTATGTGTGTGTGTGTGTGTGTGTGTGTGTACTCGGTATATACTAGGTAGGAAGTGAATGATTTTACTATTTTTACTATTTTTACCATTTTCACCATTTTCACTCCTAATGCGGTAGGTACTAGGTATAGGTATGAATTGATAATTGATATGAGAATTGCCTCAATCATTTCCACCAAGACTCGAAGCTAACAGTAGCTAGGTAAAGCTAAGAAATTTTATATTTCTTAACATCATATATATAAACTTCCCATCTTCCTTCCTCTACACTTCTTCTCACTTCTTCTTTCACCTTTTCCCTCTTTTTGAAATCTTTCCCCAAATTCCTTTTTCTCCCTTTGTCTCAATCGAGAAGAAGTTTCAGGAATCTGGAATATTCTTATTACTGTCTCAAAGGTGACTTTCTGACACTGTTGTTCTATTCATCTCTTGTCAACGCGCACAAAGAGCAAGAGGAAGAACTGACTTGATAAATTAAATCAAGATCTTTCAATCATTCCCTTTTATACACATCTCCTCAAACACTCCGATTGAGGGAAGAACAAACTCGCAAACATGGCACCTTCCACTCGCTCTTCAGTGAGCAACACCCTCGTTGAGGAAAAGCAACCTCAACATCTTGACATGCATGGAAATGTCTTTGAACTTCCCAATTATACCATGAAAGAAATCTACGATGCTATTCCAGCTCATTGCTTTAAACCCTCCATCATTCGATCAATGGCATACGTTGTCCGCGACTACTTCTACGTCTCTACCCTCATCTACCTCGCCCTTACCTTTATCCCAATGCTTCCAAATCCATACCTTAGATTTGCCGCTTGGGTTGCATATACCACCGTTCAAGGATTCGTTTTCACCGGTATTTGGATTTTGGCACACGAATGTGGACACGGTGCTTTCAGCAAGAACAAGAGATTGAACTGGACTATGGGATTGATCATGCATTCGTTCTTACTCGTGCCATTCCACTCCTGGAGACTTTCCCACTCTCAACATCACAAAGCTACCGGAAACATGGACAAGGACACTGCTTTCGTTCCACACACCAGAGAAGGTTGGATTCAGAGAAACTTTGGAGAGAAGGCCAAGGCCAACATGATCGAGTTTGCTGAATTGGCAGAAGATTCCCCAATCTCCTCGCTTTACCATGCATTCATTCATCAATTTTTTGGATGGCCAGGTTACTTGATTGCCAACTTGACTGGACAAGATTATGATGGTGCTAAGGGAATGAGAATTTCTCACTTCTATTTCGGAGAGGACAGTGTCTTTTACAAGAAGCACGAGTTACCTTTGATCGTTTTGAGTGACGTTGGTGTTGCTGTTATGATTGCCGCTTTGATCTGGGCTGGTCAAGTCTTCGGAAGCTTCAATGTTATTGTTCTTTGGGGTGTTCCATGGTTGTGGGTTAACAACTGGATTGGTACGTTTTATCTCACAATCCTCAACTAGCTGAAACTAACATATTATCATAGTTGCTATTACCTTCCTTCAACACACCGACGCATCCATGCCCCATTACAACAACAACACCTGGAATTTCGCCCGTGGTGCAACCGCTACTATCGATCGTGATCTTGGTTTCATTGATACCCATCTTTTCCACGATATCATCGGTACCCACGTTTGCCATCACTTGGTCTCCACCATCCCATTCTACCACGCCGGAGAAGCAAGCCAACACATCAAGAAAGTTATGGGTCAACATTACAAAGCCGATGTCAAGACACCTTTCTGGACCGCTTTCTGGAGAAACCAACGTACATGCAAATTCGTTGAAGAGTCAGAGGGTATGGAAGGAAGTGGTGTCTTCATGTACAGAAATTTGTACAACAGAGAGGGAGAAGTTCACGCTAAGGATCTTACTAATGGACAAGCTTCTATCGCTAAGTCAGAGAAGCCAACCGTCTCAAAGGTTGTACCAGTTGGCTCCATGGCTACAGCAATGAGCACCAGCAGAAATATGAATGCAGGAAGAAGATTGAGTCAAAGTGTTCAAGAGAGAGCAAAGGCTGGATTACCTCTTTTGGCCGAAGTTATGGGGGAGTGAATAGGCAATAGGGGATGAGATGTTTGACATGAAGAGTTGTGGATATAATTGACCACGTGCATTGGTGGATGGAGTTGTGGAGTTTTCGCTTGCGAGTCAAGAAGAGACTTGGGTCACAACACGATAACAGACCCAAGATATATAGTTTCAGATTAGATCTTGGAATCCCGCGGAGAGATATCCTTCTTTTTAGAGATAGATTAGCTGGTTGATTGCATCTTCTGGTGTACATAGAGCGATATGGACTAGACTGGATAGATGGTTTAGATTAAACTCAACTAGACTAGACCACGGCAATACGTTTAGAATAACACAAAAGCGTTATTACACTCTTTATACTCTATCGCTGTGAGCTTGAACCAATGGTCCTGTGGCTGTGAGGTGTAGGCATGACGTGTAATGTGATTCCATTCAAGTGCTATGTCGAACTTATCACATGCAAGTGTGTGAAAAAGTTGTATTTGTATCTACACTACTTCCCACCCACCTTAAGTAAAGTCGGTATTGGTATTACAAATGAGCCTGTGAAACTTGAGATGAGTGCATGCACCGCAGCTTCTCCAGTTCACAATATCTTACATTAGACCCGATTTTGGAGTGTGGAGGTGGATACAATGGCGGCGTGCGAATAGGAAATGATTTAGTTGGTACGGTACACATACATGATCAGATGGTAGACTTTATTCGCGATATGTTTCTATGTGGAAAGTGGAGGTGTACTGGGCTGGACTGAATTGGATGTTTGAGTGGTATGGTGTGGGGTGGGGTGAGATGTTGTTGTCTGTTTGTTTGGGTGAATGAATGGATGGATGGATGGATGGGTAGATGAATAGATGGATAGGATGAATGGATGTGGGTGTTTGGTGTTATGTGTAATGCGATATTGGTGCAAGTGTTGGTGATTTCTGGAGAGACTATATTGAGGGAGGATTATGTGTGTATGTATGTATGTATGTATGTAATGCGGGATATGGGAATTGTCATTAAAGTCTAGAAGGAGAGGGTAAAGTTTTGGAGAATTCTGAGGTCTCGAGCGAAGGACGTCAGTAGATGAAATAAACCGTTGTGACATTCGAGGCATTGGAATGTTTGTCTATCGATTGGGATGACTGTGTTTACATGCTAGGCAGATTACGAATTAAGTGTTTCATGACGGGTGTGTATGTGATGAATATCAAATATCTTCTAAATTCCTATAATGCTCTTCCCCGCTTTGAAGTCGATAAATCCCGAATATGATTGAAAATTAATAGGGAGCAGCGTCCTCCCCGTTCTCCCGCTTTCTATCATGGCTCCGCATCTATATCCTCAATAACATGCCGTTCCAGCTTTTGAATCCGTTCTCCGGTGACGTATACACTATTCCTCCAAGCTTCCTTACCACTGCACATCACATCATCCGAGCACGCATGTCTAAATGAAGTCGGCAGGTTATTCTTATCTCTGTAATGATTCAGAATATGAGCCATACTCCGTTTGCAACCATCTAGCTCATTTCTCGAAAATCTTCGATCACAACCCCCGACAACACAACGGTCGTGCGTACGATCTAGTATCAGAAAGGTGTTTTGTTTTAGCTCCTCGCGTTTTTGATGGCGTTCATGGGATGAAAGATGGGAGATGTCAATGTGGTGCGTTTTGAGATGATCTTCTATACTGTCTATTCGGAGAGATAGGTGGGTGCAGGAGGGTTCAGGACAGGCGATGAATTGACAAGGATTGTGTGTGTTGGAATGTTTGCGGAGAGCTTTCAGAGTGGCAAATCGTTTGTTGCAGTAGCATTTGTAGAGCTTGGAGGAAGTGGGACGTTGTCTTCTGGTTTGAGGACTTGATGTTTCAGTGGAGGAGTGTTTTTTTGTTGGACGTTTCTTTGAGCGAGAGCCTGAAGATGATGTGAGAATGAAAGGTTGGCTCGAGGAAGGAGAGGGATCAGAAAATGATTGAGAAAATTTCGTTGGTTCAGTTTCGGAGGGGATGTGTGCATCATGACCTGAATTGCAGTCATTGTTCGAAAGACCACTGTCCACAGGGCTGTGGAGACGCCATCCTTGTTCATAATAAGCTTCGTCGACTACCTCTAGTATACAGGAGCTCTTCTCCTCCCTGTCTTCAATCCGAATATTTGAAAGAATATCCCGAATGGACTTGCGAATAGACAGACCGAATTCCAAAATTTCTGGTGGGCCAAACGCGTGTCTGCGATAGAAGAGTTTAATAGAATCTTTCACAAGCGAGGGTTTGTATTCCATAGAGACATTGTCCCCCTCTATCAATTTTGTCCGTATCAAAGTAAATAGTTCATCTGCAATCTCGTGATTTGAGCGTACACATAACTTCGCAGCATAATTGTTTTGAGAAATAGTCGAGAAGTTTGGATGATGAGCATTTTCCTGGCTAATCAAGAATGAGGGGTGGTTCGGCAAAGGATTCTGTAAGGCATCGTTGTTATTAGTGTGGGGAATCTTTGATTTAATGGAAGTATATGAGACATTCAGAAGTCAATGCAGACGGTTGAGCAATAGCAAAGCTATGACTTAGGTTGAGATTACCCTTCAAGAATGACCTAACGGCTTATCCAGTTCGGTACCCCTTTCTGTGGCTCAATATTTCACCCTACTGAGATTCCCCGAGACCTACCCTCGAATCATTCAGACGAGACGTAACCCTGAATATGAAGTCACAGAATTTGCATATTGGAAATTTCTTATGGTTTTATGCTGGAAAGTATCCGATCGAAAATTGGCTGAAAAGATAGTCGATGAGATGTTGTGCTGAAGTGATGAAAGTTCTGGAAGTTCTGTGTAAAGGATTCCAATTCTAGATACTCAGACCCCAAGCGCAAAGTTGAGTTCACATTGTTGTGAAAGAGATGAGGAGACCACGATGTGGCATTTGCAAGATCGTCATCTTCCGATGTATTTAAATTTGGAAAGGTAGTTGATTGTTCAACGCGAGGACAACCATTCAGATGGTTATCATGGTTGTAAGTGGAGCAAGGCGAGAAATGGTGTGGTCGATTGGATGTGATGTCAATTTAGGTGCCTGAGAAATTAGGTTAGATTCATTGCACAGCCCCCGGGCCCAATCGGGTTTTTGAGATGATATTTCACTTACCCACCTGCACTGAGGGTCCAATGAAGATGGGAGAACTGGTGAGACCGTAGTTACTGATGATTGAGAAGATAAATTAAAGACTTTGGAGATTTTATTCAGAAGTAAGTGAGGTTTCGCCTCTGGCAAGTCCACTGTGGAACCTGAAAAGCCAAATCACGTGACTATTTGAGATTTTGACTGCGTCTTCCTAAAATAAGAGTAAGAGCGCTTATTGGGGAATGAGGTGTGAGTCCCACTTTTAACTCGAAAACTCTTGGCACTTTTTTGATGGATCTTTTCTTAGTCAGCAATTTCAAAAATCCCCAAAATTGAAGAAATCCGCCCTTTTGCCCTTTGGAAGAGGCCAGCGTTGTGTGTCAGCACGACGCACCTGTGATTCTATCCCAACATCACCAAGCTTTTGCATGTCAAGATGATGATGATTGGAAGGTTTTACAATGAATGCACTGAAATCAATGGAAGCACCAACACTACATTATCACATAATTTTCCACAATCAGTGTGATACCTATTCGAGTTAAATTAATCACACAGGCTTTTTTAAGAGCAATAGAAACATTCATGTCAGTGCAATTTAGGAAGTGTACTCAGGGAAGTGGTCTTTATTGCTTGCGGAATGACGATAAGAAGTACAGAAGAGGCGATACTTTTTCTGTAAATGCCATCGTTTGTCGATATTCCATCGATAGAATCCCGTGATCTTGATGTAAATCATCTAGAGCCTTCGTTTAATGGTGTACCATGATTTATGTCATTTCTCAATCAAATCATCAAACACCTCAACTTCTTACCGTAACGCCTTACGTCTACTCCTTACAAAACGAATCACGTATTTCATATTCAATAAAGAGAGGAGATTATTCAATGCTATGATGTTAGAAATTCGCAGGTACCCAAGGAGGCAAGTATTTCCGCGAACGCCAGCCACATGTTTGTTCATACAATCGTAGGGGATGGTGAAATAATGGCTTGTCAGGCAAAGAAAACATATGACTGCCGACCTTATGAATACAATTATCACTAGAAGCTTAGAGGACCCAGGTGCTGGTAAGACCTGAGATTTAGGAGCTTGGAGAAATCAGGACCTGGAGCTCTGCTTGTTGACTCAAGCTTGAAATCTTGTCCCATGGTTGGAAGCAGTGTTTAGCACGATGAATCATTGAGTAATTAATTTGAGCTGGAATAGGTCTGGGTATGAATTGAGGTTAAATTCTTTTCTTAATCCATTTTCGAGGTACAAAGACGCTACCACGAAATTCCCTTTTTCAAATAACTGATAGTGCTGCATCAACCCTTCCTCCTCCTCCTCCCCCCATTAAGTATTATTAAATATTACAAATTTGACCATAGATTGGCCCTACCAACTTGAAGGTACCCCCAAGTGACACCCATCTACTGAGTAATCAACTGGATTTCCTCGCATCCAACAGGATAAGTACGGTCATAAGTTGGGAAAACAGCGATAGCATAGACATTAGCCTCGGAGGTTGTGCAAGCCCAGAAGTTGAAGCCAGGGTATGTCAACCCTCCAAGAGTGCTATTTGGACCACTGTGAGGGGCTTCGAACACCCAACCTGCATCATATGGATTGCTGGCATCTGGAGCAGCATATACGACCGAACTGTCCAAGAGATACAGTTCTTGTCCTCCTTGGATGTTTACATGTCCGTTATCGAAAGAGAATTGAATGGCTGTATACTTGTTAGCTTGTTTCAAACCGTCTATATAGAAACGTGTTTATGCTTGCCTGGTGCAGATTTTCCAACCCAAAGCCATCCGTCGACTGCACTGATCTCCAAGCCTCGAAAGATCGACCCTGCTCCAAGTGGGAAAGTACGGAGAGTGTAGGTAGTGCTGGCTGTGCTAGCAGCGATAGGGCTAGCAGCAACAGTGCTGGCGAGGATAGTTGCGATGAGAGTCTTGGAGAACATTTTGATGTTTGGAAGTTGTTGGATTGATGGAATAGTTGAATATGTGTGTAGTGAAATGATGAGTGAGTTGGAAGCTGTTGATGATGATTTGAGTGATGATTTGAATGATGTTTGAATTCCAGGACCTTTCTATATATACTATGAACCCCTATAATATCCATTTATTTTCGTGGAGACACAACTGGTGCTGACCCATTAACATCTTGACAACCTTGTTCTTGGTACACTATAAATCGGATATCCATTATTGTCACTCAGTTAATAACAAGTAGATACGACCACCCTGCATTGAGTGCTATACAAGGGGTACATTAATAATTAGTATCGAATCATCAATCATGGAAACATAAACCCATGAAAATGACGAGTCATGATGTAAAAAGTGGATTGGCTAAACAGTACCGGTAGTTGCTTAGCACTGAAGTACTATCATCTTGTTCGATGTTCCAGTTCGATCCCAGCGTAGACCGCTTAGTTGTACCTCTATACAACGTATCCTTCCCCTGCTGTGACTCGTATGTCTCTCCGGCCTCGTATTTGTGGGCTTGCCAGTGGCCTTCCGAGGACCTCAAAGTGGCTCAAGGTGGATATTTTCTGCACGTCAAAATGTGGAGTATATGAACACTTTATTGAGAACGTTAAATTTAAGCTTCAAATGCTGGCAGTCACATTCCAGAATACAACAATGTCAACGGCGAACTCTAAATTTTACGGCTCCTAACTCAGCCACGATCATCCACAATATACACGCTTGGCACCTCGGAATGAAAACAAATAAGCGGGGCGTTCTATAGGGGTAGATCTCCACAGCCCGCGATCGGGTCGTCGGCTCCTACAGCCCCGCAAAATGAACATTGAGCTATTTCTGGATTCTGCCCGCTTACTCGGAGAATTCGCAAACTGCCTTAGTTTCCGCTTTATCTGCCAAGTACATCATAAAAGTCTTTTCAATGAGACACGACATCTTCGCACCCGGGTGTACTTCGGTTACCTCGTCTACACATCAACCCCTCTTTGACAATGCCACTTACATCGAATACAGGTGTATCCGTAGTGTGACATGATTTTGCGTCCACAAATTGGCCAGTCTCAAAATTTCTCCCCAAAGCTGACAATTCACATGGTATTTTCTCATCTGCAGAGCCAGGTGTGACAGGAGAGGCTGTTGGTATTCTTTTTCACTGAGTCTAGCGGCTTTTTGCCGTGTTCAGGGACTGCATTAGAGACTTATTTGTGGAAGAAGTTGTCCCTCCGCGCTCGAGGCATTTGCCACGAGACCTCGTTTGGGTTTGTATATCAAGGTTCACGATCGCTGTTTTACGTAATAGCTTTCAGAGCAATGCTCCACATTGCAATCATTGCATTTTTGGATTCTACTCCAAAGTTGGAATTTAGTCTTTACCAACAAAATCGACGACTTAGAATGGATGTTCCAACCAGTGAGAGCAGCAGAAATACAACCAAACGCATATCCTCGTGTAACTCCCAGGGGAATTCGTCGGGTTAAACCAAAACCTCGTATATTAACGGATTCATGATTACTTAGACAATCGGCAATTCTTCTTTTCATCGTCATCGTCCTTTTGAGTTAGTCGCTGAATCGTAGTTAAAGCATATCCTTCCAGAAGAATGTGGGGTGATCAGGGACATCTGCTGATATTTTATTGCTGGGTTTGTGATGTGAACAAGTGGGCAGACTGAGGCTATTATGGTAGATTGAGCAATGGCTTTCTGTGAAGAATTGAGTGATTGACTTCCACATTGAGTGGTTTACGCGTTGGAAAAAGGAAAAATTGTTGACTGCTACCATAATGTATTGTCACATTGAGAGAATATGGTATTGGGAAATCACATTCAAACTTAATCATGGCTTACAGCTATTGAAAATGGTGTTGCATTACTGGAACTACAGAAGAGCTCACAAATTGAAAGCATTTCCTCTTGATTTTTTATTGTATGAAAGTATCGCAAGGATAAGTCGTGCAATGAAGAGTACTTAAATCCACTGCTCAAGGCGAATCGATATGTGATGAGGTGACTTGGAGTTTTATGGACGAGGATGGCGGCTTTCTACTGATCCATCCATGTTAGTCCAAAGCCACCACTATCATAATTATTTTAGACCGATCTTTCTGTATTCTGTTGCTAGCCCCTTGCCCCGCGCTTACCAATGTCTATTTTCAGCCGCAGTTCTTGAGTACAGTCGAGACGCTATTTCAGCTGTTCGACCTCAAAATCGCCGTTCATACTTGAGATAATGCAGTCCGAGTCAGCGTCTTTGTATGAATTGATTTTTCACTTCTTGTTTGTTGATACTTTTTATTTTCAACTCACTTTCGTATTCTAATACAGCGATCTTCAGACGGATAATTTAATGGGTCACGGCCCGTTCGTTTGTTCACGCTGGTTTCTGGTTTCCAATTTTGTTTAGCTCCTGAACTATATGAGCAACTGAAATGTCTGACTTACTGACTTTTGAGGTCGTGGCTTGAGCTGCCTTGAGACTGATATTGCTTCATGATGTCTCTCTGAACCATATTATATGCAATTCAGGAGACCGTAGAACAGAGCGGATGTTTTCTTTCATCATCACAATACGAGCTCATTAGTAGCCTAGATAAGCGCTAGCCAAGCTCTTACTTTTAAGCTGTGTCCTCACACTCTGTTGCGCACGGCAAGGGAAGTATTTGATCCAGAAATGTTTGAAATTGTGAATACCGTGTTGCTTCAGAACTCAATAAGATACTGTAAAGGAGCTGAGCTTGCAATTTTGAGTTATCTCACGCACAGGGGTATGGAAATGGGATATGCTGGCCTTGCTGATAGCCTCTTGCCCGACGGACCGAAAGGAGAGTTCGTCTAATGGATCTAAAGGAAAATCAGCACTACATAGGGTCAGATCCCTGCAGTGATTTCCTTTGAACCTAGATCGACCTCAAAAACCTGGATCGTCACCTTTTGCTGGTTTCATCGATCTAAGGGATGAACAGCCGACTTTCCTCCTACTAGTAAGAGGAAAAAGACAACGTCTTGCATCGTCTACGAACTGTCTCAATCGAACCATCATTATAGGGAAAAAAATTATTTTTATAATAACTATTATATTACTTCAAATTTCAAAAACATGGTATGTTGTTATATATTTGCAAGATGTATATAGTAAGAAAAAAGGAGTACAAAAGAGAAGTGTACGAAAACATGCGAACGAATTCTCTAACAAGTTAAATAATCCACATGCTGATAAATCGCGTTATAGAAATTATTTCTTATATATCTCAAACTCTTAGTTTTAAGTCGTGTTGGTTGATTCGTGAGTCGAACTGAAGCCTAATTTAGGCTACCGAGGACCTCTTCATATCTCATCAGTCGTTACCCATTTCTAGAATGTATGATGCTTTTCGATCTCCATGAATGAACCAAAAAAAGTTCTGTGAGAATTCAAGTATAACCCAGAACTCCATGCTAAAGATACCAGATAGAAAAAAGTGAAGGAAAGAGGCGCCCTTCGAGTGACATTGCCACGGAAGATTTCACAGAGTCATGTTATCGATGGTTGGATCGTCGTATTGTCGTCTCGTTGCTCCACAATTGTTGCATATGAATTTACTGAAGACTTCAACATTCCATATCGCAAAGGCTCGTGTGATGGGTCCCGAACTGTGTAATTGTTATGATGCTCGGAAACTGGATCCTCGTCGCAAACCCTTGACATTGCCACATCCGACGCTGTATCTGAAAGATGATCCAATGCATCAAGTATAGGACGAAGCCTTGAAGGCTGCTTGTTGTGGTATGGACTTATGTATTCAGACGGGCCCCGGTTGCCTGGATAACCACCACCATTGAAGCTCTTATTGCTCTCACGGTAGTCTTGAGCGCTAGATTCTTGGTTATAAAGATCTATATCAGGTCTCTCTTGTGGCTCTGTGCTATCACAGTTGTTTGAAAAATTAAGGTTGCCTTCATCAATCTCTAGTCGTACTTCGCAATCAGAGTCATTCCGATCGTTATCCGAAACCCGCTTTCGATTCTCTGGTTGGATGCAGGTGCTATTCTTCCAATGTTCTTTCATTCCACACTTGTCTTTGTCCGAGCATAAGTGCCGAAAGACCAAGGGGGTAGACTTTCTCAAATGTTCTGAGATATGGTCGTGGCTCTCCGAGCATTTCTTCCAAGAACCTCGAGGAAGCTTCGCGTCACAGAAAGTACAGTGGTCGTGGGTTCTATCTGTGATTATCAAAGTATTCTCCTTGATCCCTTCTGATTTACTGTTCTTTTCAGCTTCTGATAGACCTTCGAGGTAGCCTTAATGAGATTTGGTCTTCAGGTGACTGTCCATAGTATCCTTTCTCAGGAATATTTCCGAGCAATCAGGCACAATGCAAGCGAAAAATTCATAGGGATTATGGATTTTGTTGTGGGGTCCAATCCCTTTGAGCCCCACGATTGAATTACAATTGTCGTAGTGACAATTGTATTTGTCCGAGGAGGGTTTGCGCCGCTTACTGGAAGAGGAACCGACACTCGTGGAACCTCCATAATCGCTAGGACGCTTAGATGAAACTGAAAAGACTGAGGGGGCTCTGTTTGTTCGTATTGTCGAATTGCTCCCCTATCGAAAGAAACATCATTAGTTTGGAGATCTTCTATTGTGCAGATAGAAAAAAGCGCGAGATCATGTTAAGAGACGAATTTAAAAAAGGTTCTTGCAAATTACAAGAGCCTTAGATTCGGAGCATAGACATTGTCGTGATTCCAAGGTTACCGCAACATACAATAGTTCGTGGCGCGCAATGTAATGAATCAAAAGATATACTCACGTGTGTTTCAAGGCCATGATACTCAAGATCCGATCCAGAGATTGTTCCAGCTTTCGATAATGTTTGTGTACGTTGCGAACTTATCGGCATTTGGCCCGGTTCTGGCATTTCAAATTGAATATATTCCACTTGTCCAGGTAGATCAAGAGAGCGGTTTTTTATTCCAGCGATCGATGATTCATCAACTGGCTGAGAGCTACTCAATCTTTGAGGTGTGATCTGACATTGCAGGGGACTTTCTTTATCGGAGGACCCCGCTGTGGGTTTGGATACAAGTTCGTCCACCTCATTTAGACCTGCAAAAAAATCATCACCGAACTCGAGATCGTAACTCGGGAGTTCGCCATTGGGAAAGATATTCCAATTATCGATGTTATTGTCGTGAAAATTATTGTATGATAGGTGATTTGCATTGTCCAGATCATTTTCAAGGAAATGCAATACCTGATCACCACATATCGGTGGTTGCGCGAGGTTCGAACCAGGATCTCGGTAACCCTGCTGTGGCAGTGCGCTCTCATAAACGGCTACAGATTCTTCGACGGTTCTAAAAGACATGGTTTAGAGACAAATGGTGTTTTTTTTGTATAAAAATAATACTGCAAATATTAGAATTCTGCAGTACTGTTCATAGTAGATGACGTCGCTATGGCTCTGTAAAATTTTGCAGGTGCTAATAGTACACCTAACCAAAAACATACCGCGATATGTAGAAGAGGTGAGGAATACATTAAAGAAACATAAAACAAACTTGACGTGAATTGTACTAGAGGTGTGTGTTGGCCATCCTCATCTCGCATAAGGATATTGTTGATGGGGATGGAGATGGAGATGGAGATGGAGACGGTACCAGAAGCTAAGCGAGTTAAGGGGACGGCGATGATGCAGATATAAATGAAGGTAACATTTGATAAACTTTAGATGGTGGATAAAAGCTTTGGAGAGATTCCTATACCATTTCCTTCATCATGAGTCCCATAAAATCAAAAAAATATATGGAGAGGGAATCACGGACGGTTGGGCGGTGCTTCCCTTCTCTATTTCAGTCACCATCGTCATCGTCATCACCGCCGTCGTTACTGTTTTTATATCCTTTTCTCTTCAATACTACCTCAAAGATGTTTTATTTGAGGATCAAACGAAGATACTGCTATCAACGAATTCTCAAGTGATCTTAGAAATCTCAGAGCCCTCAATTAGAATGTTTGTGGTATGAAAGTAGCATTTAAGTTTGATCTGTCTATCGACCTCGTCCAACTGAGTGCTGGACACCAATCATTGAGAGGTCACGAACTCGGTATATCTCTTCAAGATCAAAATCCATCATATTGAGATCCCAATTCTCAAGATCTAGCTTGGGAAGTAGTAGGCCAAAGCAATTAAAAAGCCAGAACGATAGAGTGATGTGTGTGATACATAGAACTCTTTGGGCGTGTAGTCATGTGAGACAACAAATTACGTGCGAGCTTGGTCTGGCCGGAAGCTGTAGTCAACAACCTGTACATGAAGATAGGCGAATCCGAATCTGTCCAGAATGTGAAGTGAAAAAAGCGCAAAGGCAAGTATGGAAAGATCCGAGGACCTAAAACTGGCTAACAGAATTAGGCATGCTTCGAGGCGGTGATAGAACCGAAAAGTGACAACGAACATTGAGTATAAGGCTGCCTGATGTAGTTAACAACGAAATTCTCTGAGCTTGGTGGGCTAGCGTGGATGGTGTGTGTTGAGTTTGAAGTTGGACCACGGGTGTAGATAGGTTTTATAGTTAATTCGAACAGTGTTCAGCTATATTGGAGTCTCTCCTTTGGCCCGGAGTCATCAGTCTTGAGAAGTGCTTTCCCAGTTAAAAAGCAAGGTGTGATGTTGGAGATGTCCATTCGACGTCCTGCTCGGTTGAGAAGCGAGAGTCATAAGATAGGTTGATGTGTATTTGGCCACAATCTCCATCTCATGTGTAAGTCTAGTTTGACTTTACCGGTCGTTGTATTTAAAGCAAGAGTAGGAGGAATCTTCCAATTTTACTTTTTGAAGTGTATGTACTGAATGTATGAGGTTGAAGTGATGAGGCTAGCCTAGCATTCAGGCTTTCAAAATCCATGAACCCCACAATCTTCATATGTCTTGGTGCCTGAGTCTGACCACTTTCTATTCTTGTGTGTCCTGGACAGCGGGTTTGTACATATATGAACGACTCATCCCAGAATTTAATATGGACTTTCTTCTTTTGAAAGTAAATGATGATTGTTTCGGTATTAGAATCATTTATGGGCAGCTCTCATCATAAGTAGACGGGTCTTTATGCAAAGCCCTGGTGGCCTCGTCCGGTCAGTACCATGGCCCCCAGCCTTCCCTGCCGCGTTTGCCTTAATATAAATCCTATGTGCCAAACCGCTCGATGGCGAGTCAATGTGGTAGGTAATGAAAAAATTGAGCACACCCTCCCATTCGAATTCCGGGAATTGATATCATCAAGCCGTGCTTGTTCATTTTGCTTTTTGATAAGAGTAGGTGCGCAAGCTATACGGCGCGACGCTACGACGCTTCATCGCAACGGTCATTACAACTCCACTATCAAGCGCGGCCGGATTATCGTGCAAAGATCTGCTTCTCTTGAGATTGAAATGATTCGCGATAGAGATGGTGCTGGAGATGAAGTCTGGTCAAGGCTTCAATTATTTGTGGCAGACAAGGATAATGAGGTCGGAGGGATTTGTTTGAGGCCCACAATTAGCGACTCTGGCTATTTTGGCGTACTTGGGATCGCCACAAACGTTCCTCCATTGACTTCAACCAAGACACATATTACACTAATTAATTCTTGGATCAGAAACTGCCGTAAGAATCACTTATCTTGCGATATAGCTACAACAAGCCAATTGCCCTCGAGACTTCTGGATATATCTGGTAGTGAGCATGACATTTATTTGGTAGAGACTAGAGATCTCCCAAGCAGCGTCAATCGACCCTCCTACACAACTCTATCACATTGCTGGGGCTCTAATCATATCATTCAAACCACTTCATCTACTATAAAAATTCTCTATGGTGGAATTAGAAAAGCGGATCTCCCAGCTACCTTTCAGGATGCAATATCCGTGGTACGAGCTTTAGGATTGAGATTCATATGGATTGACTCTCTTTGCATCGTCCAGGACTCTCTTGATGATTGGAAGCATGAATCGGTTCTTATGGCTTCAATATACTCCAATTGTTATGTAAATATCGCGGCTACCGGTGCTGCTGATAGTTCCAAAGGGTGTCTGGCACCTAGAAATCCACTTCACCGATCCATTCCCTTATTCGCAAAATGCCTCCTACAGCCCGAGACAGAGGATAAGAGTATATTTGACCGCCATTCGCTTAATGGACTCCATCAATTTTTTTCCACTCCGCCTATATTGAGAAATGAGACAACTGGCTCATGGGGCAAAGAAAAGCAAGAGGCGCCGTTCTTGTCAAGAGCCTGGATTTTCCAAGAACGATATTTAGCACCAAGAACCTTGCATTTTTGCTAGTCAGAGCTAGTCATGGAATGCCGCAAAGAACTAAGATGTGAATGTACTGGACTCGATTCTATCACATCCAACCCTCTTCGCGACGTGCAAGATATATCCTACGATAGTTGGCTTCGTGCCGTGGAGGAATTCTCTAGGTTGAGATTGAGCCACGAAACGGATCGATCGAGTGCATTGTTAGGCATTGCCAAGGTCTTCCACGCTAGGTTGATGTCTACATATCTTCGAGGACTCTGGGGTGAAGATCTTGCGAGAGGCTTACTGTGGGATGTTACGAGGTATGAAAACGTACATACCAGTGCAAGTCCTTTTAATTCGCCACCGAAGAGGCAGAATAGAGAAATTGCCCCGACGTGGTCATGGGCTAGTATGGTGATGATAGAGGGGATTGGAATAATCTTTCCAGCAGCCCACGATGCATCGTTCTCCAAAAACCCACAATTCTATTCTTCAAAACACGCTTCACCACCCGCAACGTCTCCAGGCACTTCATCATTCGAGAACCTTCTAGGAACGAAGAAAATTTGCGTTAATACTGAATATTTCTTCGCAACAGTTTTTCTGCCAGAAACGGAGAAGAACATGATGCTTTTGTTTGACGCAGATATTGAGGATACGATTTTGATGTCTATATATGATATGAATTTGGATATCCCTTTGCACCCGGGAGGTCATCGAGAGCAGAGCTGGGAAGTTTGCTGCTTACTTCTAGGCTCAATGACAGAGAAAAGTTATGAGTTGAACGAAGAAGCAGAGTTCTTGTGCACGCTTGTGGTTAGATGCAACTCAGTTATTCGTGCATGGGAACGGATTGGAGTTCTTGATGTTAGGAAAGATGATGTGAATGATTCAACTATAGGAGAACGGGAGTTCAACCTCATGTGAATACAAGCATAAACCTAGGTCAAGGTGTTCATGATAGAGTATGATAAATTTGATAATACGAGTCAACAAGCTATGTATTCGTACCTAGGTACACAAAACAAGGGTAAAGGAAACGCACAAAAATAGGAATCCAACAACCAACGCTCAAAATGCTGCAATGACAAAGAAAAAGAATCCACATGAAATTCCGCCATGCCATTCCATCGCCATCGGCATTGTCCCGAGTATCCTTCGATAGTTGGGACCTCGAATACATATCGTAGGAGCACGCAAGTCATATTTCCTGATTATGCTGCCTTTGATTCTCTTATCTTTTTCTCTGCCGCAGCTCGACGAAGTCTCTCTGCAGCTGCATCAGCAATCAACTTGTCATCACCCGTCAACCCCAGCTGTGCCGCCCGCGCCGCACGCTCTACGCTATTATGGGGACGATCCCCTGCCTTCCTCGGGATCCACGCACGCAACAAGCCCTCGCGTCTAAGACGCGCATCCGACATCTCCGTGAAGCGTTTATGACGAGTGTAGAACTCTCCTCGCTCGTTGAAAAATTTTGAAGCGCGTAAATATCTTTCGAAAGGGCTCAATCTCGCTAATTGGAGGATATCTCGATCGGTCAGATTTTCGCCAGTGGAATAAGGTAATGCCATCATTTGGTCAGCTTCAGGGTGGTATTTGGCACCGATAGTTGTGCGTCTGCGATGCAAGACTTCATGGTAGACACCTTTGTTGTTGATTTGATTTTTAATTCCGCCCCATTGCTTTACTGTCTCTACATCTGGACCACCAATTTCTTCGTAGTTGTTATGGATAGGTCGATTAACATCTTTGCGAATACTTGAATGACGGGTCCTGGAAGGGTATGAAAGAGCTTGAGGGATGGCAGGTGATGGGAAGGCAAGATCTCCTTGGCGCTGGAGCTCGCAGGCATGCTCCGGGTTCTGTAATCGGAACTGGCTGATCAGAACTGCGCCAAGTTGATCATATCGGCCATGAATATTTTGTCTCTCATCAATTATAGCTCCATGCTCAGCTAACATGTGTCTCATGACAGTATCTATCTGATCCTGCTCTGAACAGTTTTCAAGAATTGGTTGATTCAGTCCAGGCCTAGCAGCATAGAAACTTTCGATGTCTACTTTGTTTCTCGGAATCCAAGATTGCAAGTATTCGACTTCTTGGATTGTAGCTGGTGTGGGGAGATTCATGGTGATAACTCCTGGTTGTAAATCTAAGTACTCATCAAAATCAAGATCAGGCTCGGAAGCTTGAGAAACTGGTGTACTATCGAAAACCTGGCTGCTGTAATATTGATTATCAACAACATTTTCATTGATAGAGTGTTGGTTAGGAAGAGTTCGACTGCCAGGAGATTGGTCGCCAGTCAAATGATATCGATTTGGTTGTGCTTGGGATACACCTCTAGCATCGTAATAAATATCATCAGAAGGCCGATCAGAATCAGAGCTTACAGGTTGCAAGCCTGCTGATGGTGGAAAGGACTCGGTGTCGCCAGTTTGTATACTTGCTTGTGGCGATGAAGGCCGCAAATGATCTGAGGCTCCAGGCTCATATTTTTGCAGCGAAGTTAGATCTCCAACATACTGATCGTATTCTTTGGGCGATTTGAAGGATCCAGATTGCGCGGATGGTGAATACTGTGGTTTCTCCGAAGACTTACGGTCTTGTTGATCTAATCAAAGTTGAGATGTTATTCATCAAATCACACGCAATAAGATCAGAGGAAATACATACAAGATGAAAGATGGTCTGAAATATTGTTTTGGATATCATGTCCCTCGGCAGAAATGGATGAGCAAGAAGCAGGCTTATAACCGTCTTCATATTTTAACTCTGGTGTGTTGCCTAAATTGCGCGGTCAATCTGTGAAATTTTACCTTTCGATGGACGGGAAATGATATTTACCAAGGTTTGTTGAAACCGGGTGGTAAACATGCTCCTCTACTTGCTCTTGCTTGATAAAGGGAGTCTCTGGCTTGATCGAAGAGGCTCTTTGTGAGGAGCTGCTAGTATTCTTGTTTCGTTCGTCTTCTTGTAAAAGAAGAGGATCAAGAAGGAAATCTAAGTGCGACATCGTGTGGCCGAATTGAGAAGTTTGAGATATACCAAGGCTTGGTCGTTGTGGTATTTTTTGTTGCGAGGAGAAAGGCAAGAAAAAGTCGAAGACAATCGAAGACAAAGCTCGAGGAGATATTTTTATTTTAATATGGTTACCATACGGCCAAACTATAATCAAAGACTTAACAACCATTATGTTAATAAATAAGAGAGCCAATAAAAGGCTGAAGGGTCTAGAACATTGCCCTAAAAGGCTGATGGATCCTCGGCTTATAACTTCATTCACTTTTTGAACAAAACGCGAATGAGATTCGCTCGGGAAAAACATTTCTTTGGTGAATGTGAGACTAAGCTTTTCATATTTTCACTTTTTGGATGAAGAAGTAGTAGTTAGCCCAGGTTCCAGGTAATTAATTGTTCAATGTCAGCCTAGTAATATAAGTTCTCATCTGCTCAGATTGAAGAAGCTAGTTAGCTATTTCTGCTAGGAGTAGATCAAAAATTCTTTCCTCATAATTGCAGATGTATTGGTATCATATCAAGCAATGCTTTCGATATTGTCCAAATGTCCACGGTGGAGTAATATCAAAGAAAGACTTGCAAGCAAATTGGTCATCACAGACTGAACAGAATGATTTCGAACCAGCATGCAAGCTTTCTAGAAAGAATACTGATGTCTTGTCGTTATCATTACGGAAAGAGGATCATCCACCAGAGAAGGGTCACCTCGCTTCACTTGATGAGCCAGCTGTAAACCTTCATTCACAATTAGGATCTGAAAGCACTGGAATCTGTGTGGACATACAGTGAATAAGCTCTTATGATCAGGTCGGCTATCTAGAAGAAGAAAAAGAAGATAAGAAGAAGCCATGAACCTGCTCATAAGTTGATAGTCACTTGCTAGCGTTTACATTTGGCCTAGAATTGTTTTCACATCATCAAGCGGAACAAACATCCTGACCCCATACGCGGCACAGGTACGTCAACTCTTCCTATATATGTAGCGTTATATACCCACTTAAGTTTATTTACGGTGATAGGGTTAGGTTGTCGCTGCATCGGTATCTCAAAAGGTTATTCGTGCAGAAACCCCCATTAAAATTTGTCTCGCGGTAAAGAAACATGTCAACTTAATCTACAAAACCATCTAAAATCCATTTGCAATTGAGCAAATGAGTTGATTTCCAAGTTGGACTATAGATATTCCCGGAACCGTTCACCATAGAAACTTCAAAACCCCCGCGATCGATGAAAGACAAAATTATTGGAAGTGAGATGACGATAAAAATGACATCGAAAACTAGTGACACTTTGCAATCCTATAACATCCATCCGGCTGTATTCATGAGACTGCGAAAGTCAGAAATTGGGCAAGAAAAACAGAGCAGTCTGGAAATTGATCACTCACGTGCTTATCCTCAACTATTGTTCAACTAGTTGATTTGTTTCCACAGATACTCCAATCATCACCAGCCTGCTGTTGGTGATGAACATGGTTGGTTGAGTACCCGGATCCAGTATTATTTGATGAGGTAGCAACGCTTCCTACTGCATTCCAAGGAGCTTGTTGAGGAGTTTCGGCAGCCCAGCGCTCCATTGGCGTCATCGAGTCCGTATTAGCAGTCTAGTGGGAACTGTATGACTTCTGGGTTTGTGTTTGATCATTACTGTTCATGGAGGGCACAGCACGGTTGACTTCTGTGAATTGACGTTGGGCAGAGTAGTTGGCCCACTGCCCATTGGCTGTATACTCAGCTATATTTGCGTTGTCCGAAGATTGGACCTGAGCTGACTGGATTATGCATCAGTAAAGGACTGGTTTTGATCAAGTAGAACATACCTGAGCGGTCGATTTGTAGTCGTATTGTGAATTGGCCATTATGGCGGAGCTATAATGGACTTGAAATACGTTTTGAGAGTCTCTGATTGGGATTCTGCGAGATCTGGTCTCTTTTATATTAGAGGACCAATATCTTGCGTTATTTGAATCAAACGACTGCGGAGGTTGACACTATTCAAGACTTGAGCTTTCGATGAAGCTTCTGACGAATAATCAACGGTATGGTTTCCTCGAAGTTTAGGTGGAATGAGTAATTTTGAGATAGAAAAACTCTGAAGTATGCAAGAAGATTGAGTAGGAAATCAGTGCTCTTTATATAAAAGATCATCTTCTTACTAGATCTTCCATCCTCCTCTTGTCTACTATGTCAACAGGCAACTTTCACAATCTTCATCAACAGCTGGGGACTTTTGTCACCCAGGACCAAATGACATAGGTCTTCGTTGTCGCTCAACTAAATGTAACTTGACAAACATGCTGCCAATGAGCCACTGTCATGATTGCCTCTTCACAGATTTTCTGTATTGTTGTGCACCGATTGTGGCATATTCATGCAGGGGAAATGTGAGCACCTAGCCGAGAGAATTTCATGACCGCAACTCCGTTAATTGCAGATGAGATTGCTGTTGCTGCGAGGGACTTTTGGTCAGTCACAATCTCAGAGCTCCTCAGCCTTATCACCTTCCTTCCAAGGGTGTTCATGTGGGAGAATTTTGTGGTGTAACTTTACCATGCTCGCCATGCTAACCTCATGACATTGTTTTATCCCTCGCGAGCCACCAAAAACCACCTAATCGCAGGCCTACAAGCCCCCCGCTAACCTCACTCAAAACACCCAACCTTAAAGGGTGGAGTGGGTCGGAAGGCTTGTAGACCTACGGGTGACCCGAAAGCAATGCCGATACGACATATTCTCAACGTTTGCAATGTTGTTTCCTAATCTTATATCGAAAGTAAAATATACAACACTTTTTGCTTGTAGACAGGATATGATGATTTGATGTTCAAAGACAAGATAGGACCGAGTATCATTTGGATGTCAGCTTTCTGAGTCTTGTAACCGAATTGATTATTGGCTAATTTGCAGTCAGGACTATGTCATGCTCCCGAAGCATATAATACATCAAGCTAGACACGCATTCGACACCAAACTCATTTGCACCAAAACGACTGTACATATGTGAATCATTGTCCTGACCAAAAAATATTGGTGCTGTCCTAGTTTGCCTGTAGAACTTTAGCGCGAGAAAGTTGGCCATTCATCTTGCTGTCAGATTTTACCATTGCCTTGCGGAATGAACAAGGCCAATTTTTACAGCTAATAATACGTGAGGGACTTTTGTTCTCATCCAATCAGTTGTGTTACATTTAATTGTCGGCCACAAGACAAATGTATGGACTCGCTTGAAAAGGACACTAGACTCAATTCCGGTTGAGCTCTGTGACAGTCACATTTCTCAGCAAGAAAAAGGTAAGGTCCACCAGTCATGCATTGTGTGGATATTTGGATCGTAGGGACGCAGCTAAAAGAACAAAAGAATAGAGGATGCGATGAAGGATGAAGTGAGGCGGGCGAGATTGGAGACTGAATAATTTATCAACATTACGATCTTACAATCACTCGTGCATGACCCGGCTTGCTTCGGTGGCATGTACGTATCACAAGTATGTTCCAGGTAACCTGATCTGGAAGGGGACTTTTGGTCAGCCATTGAAATGCATCGCAAGGCTAGGCTCTGCAAAATCGACTGATAAGTATCAGACTGTTTCCATTTTCTGCAGTTCATAGCCCAGCAAAATTTACTCTTCAACTGGCGTCGCAGAATTTTTTCTTCCATAGCAGGTCTCCCACTAATGGAGATAAAATAATTACCTACGAAGCACTTTTTCATTTTCTATCATTCCAGAGCATTCATCTTTACCAAATCCTCATACAAACATCGTGCCAGCTCAAGCATTTATCGAGAGTCATATACTTATGGATATCGGAGCACAATCATTACTGCCCACTGGAGGTCACAAAGTCCTCTCAAGAGAAGAGTGGTTGAAGCTCAAGCCAATCATACTGCAATTATATATAGACGAGAACCAGACATATTCTACTGTTGCTAGTGAGCTTGCAAGAAGGTTCGACTTTTATCCTACGTAAGTGCTATGTCTTTTGTAATAGGTTTTGAGCGGGAAGGATGAGATGCTGGATTTGGAGGTTCTGGCTCTGTTGATATAACGGGATTCATAATAGAGAGATTAACACTCGTATTATAGAAAACGTCAATTCACACGGAAAATCGAGGAATGGGGTTTGAAGAAAAATTTCAGGAAGGCAGAAAGGAAGCTCCTTCTGCAAAATAACATGAGCAGCGGCACAGCGCAGTTTATCATCGGGGACAAACGTGTCTCAGATACCAAAAGGATCCAAAGATTGAAGAAAAGATATGCACATGAAAACCCATGTTCTCAAGGTTTGTCATTCTTCAAGAAATTACTTATTCATCGAAAGCATTCTGATGTTTGATTCAGTGCAAGGAGTTCCATCTTATCAGAACATCTATGTCCCACCAAAATCTGATGGATCGTATTGCTCACTTGAAGAGCAACTACTTACATCAGATCATGTAGATGCAATCGCTTCAGCTCATGTAGCATCGACAGCCTTAGACGTCACCGAGGAGGATGGTGCTTTGGATCTGGAACAATTGCCGTTAGGTGGGGACAATGATTTTCATGGATCTTTTGGACTGACTCGATTGCTTCAACGGTTGGAGATTGAAGCCTCTATGCCACCGCTCAATCTCGATGATGAAGTGGTGAACACGAAACAAACTATCTCCGGAAACGAGCTTCGCAATAACGTAGAGTCTTACGGAACAACAAGTAGACAACTATCTACCTTCTCTAGCGGCGTCAAATATGCTTACATTCCCAATGTTGTGGTACAACCGGTTTCTATCTCGGGAAAAAGAATCCCGTGGAGCCCGTTATTCGAGCTTGATCTTTTTCCAACTTCTCAAAGTACGCGTGGTAATGGGTGTGAAATGTCGATTGCATCTTTAACCAGACCATTGATTGACGTATGGGACAAAGATATTAAGGAGTGGAAGCTTAAGCTTCAGAAATTTAGGAAGACTTTACCAGACCATAACCCAGCAATTATTTTAAATCTCGAGCATTTGATACATCTCTTTGAGCAACAAGGGATGGATTCTTTACATTTATGGCATCAACTTTTAGCTGCAAGGCTGAGAGAGAGCTGTCCCAATAATCACAAGATAATGGAGGTCTATCTTGAAATTGTCATGCTGCTTTTGTTGAAAGGGAAATTCCCAGACGCGACATACCTATCTCGAAGCTTGCGTAAAGCGATCCAAAAAGCGCAACTGAGCTCTGAACACCCCTTCCATATCCGACTCTCCTACCTCGAAGCTTATATTTTGTACATCGATCGTCAATTTGCAGAGGCCGAGTCAATCATTCGACCAGTGATACAGAACCTCTTAAACAACCAAAATCTGGACCGTAGTCATAAAATGACAAGTGATGCACTCATACTTCTTGCGTTTTTGATCCAAAAGAAAGATGGATATTCATATTCTGAAATCGAGAAATTACATGGATACAACATTCACCAAGTTAGTAAACACGGCCCAAGCCTAGGTGGTATTTACTTCGAAAATATGGGCCAATTGGTGTACATTCTGTTGGAAGGCCAAAAGATTGAAGAGGCTCACAGTCTTTGCGTTTATATGATGGAATGCGTAGAATCAACATTAGGTAAGAGACACTATTGGTATTCTAACTACCAAGAGCAGCTGGGTCTTATTCTTCTTAAAAAAGGGTTGATATCGGAATCTATCGATGTCTTCCGCAATATATTGCTCGAAGAAGATGATGGCCATCTAAGAAGCATGGCTTATCAGAATATAGGTCAGGCACTAAGTGAATGTGGAAATTTAAGGGAAGCAATAGTCATGTACAAGAGCTGTCTCTTGATGGAGGTTCAAGAGAAAGATTGGGGAGATTTGAGGAGTTTGGAAGTGATATGTCGCAACTTAGGAATTTTTTATGAAGAGTTGATGCAATTTCAAGATGCATTGTTCTTGTATGAGAATTTTTTGGGCAAGATAAAGGATACCGCTGGCGATAAATGTCCGTTGATCAAGGAAGTCGAAGATTGGATCTCTAAGGTACAAGAGCAGATGGAAGAGAGTAGCGTAAGTGATGAGGATGATGGAAGTGAAAACACGGATCCTTCGCGTGAGGTCCAAATGGGAGAAGTTAATGATGAATTGGGATATGGGCAGTTTGTCGAGGGTATAGTAGATGACGTGAGCTTGAGAGAGATATTTGAGATAGAAGACAGGGGGCTGGATGAAAAGATTGCCGATATCAGTAAACAGATTAGTTCAATAAAGCTTTCCTAGAGTACTTAGAGGAGGTAAGTTTGACTGGCAAAGATTGGCACTCACAGCTGGCTAACAAATTCACAGATTCAAAATCATCTCATGATGGTTGGAATAGGATACTTCGAATTCAAGGATTGATAGACTCTCCATGATACAGACAGATTCCGGACATCAATTCATTTCTCATTGTCTTTATTTATTACATTACTTTATGACATTAACTTTTTGTATCCACGATAATATGCATACCTTGATGCTTTCGTCTATCACTTCACCCATCGGCCCGACCATCATCCGCAGCATTCATAATGGATGACGTCTTTCTCGCAATTTTCTCCGTCAAGATGCTATCAAGCCACCCACTCTCTCTTCTACCTGCTACTTCGTTCCCTACAACTCAGTCTTACAAACAGCTCCCGGACAACTCCAAATATCCGTATAGCTGGAGCCACTGCTGTATCCAATACTGCAAACTGGGGTTCTCACTCCGGCTGTTGGGTTCGTCGTGTTGACGGCTGTACAATTGCCTTCTAGGATATTTCTAGAACTTGTGTACCAAGAGCCTGAAGTTACGTTGAGGTTGACTTCTACGCCGCAGATAGCGACTAGTGATATGTCAGTTTCCATCACTTGTTTTCTGGGGAAGAGCACGGAGACTGAGGAAAAAGGGAAAACGGGGAACGTAAAACAGGAGAAGTGGAAAGAAGAAAAACATACCGTTCACCTGGCCCGTGGGAAGCTCAAAACCAAAAGGTCCCTTGGGATAGAAATCATACGCTTCAGTACAGTTCGTCTGGGACGCTGGTAAAATCATGGCATATCTTCCTGTGGCCGTCGTGATTGTGTAATCTGAGTATCCGTAATGAAAATCGGCCAAGGTTGTGAGAGGGAGAGCGAGGAGGGTTGAGATAGAAAGGAGGGAGGTACGCATTTTCGTAGTTTGTATGGGAGTTTTTGGAAAGCTTTTATTTGTGTGAGGTGCAGTGATGAGGTCTGATCGTTCGAATGAGATGATGTTGTAATTAACAAATTCAAATAATTTCACTTGTGTTAATGATCTTCAAGATTTACAACGCAGCAGAACCCTTATTCTTATATACCAAATTTTCCGGGCCCCATCCCATTCTTACATTCCCGTCCCCATATGCCTAATACATCATCTCACATATTCAACAGGCCATACACAACAGCGTTCCAATCTAAAATGTGCACATTTTACAGTCAAAAACAAGCATAATCCGCAATGTTGATCGCCTAGCCACCTCTATCTTCAATAATCACTAACAATTCTTTCATCTCATTGGTTCGTTCGCTGCCATCCTCTTTGCCAAGCTTCCAACGCAGAGTACGATCTGCAGGAATACGAGATGCGATTCATGATGTCAGGTACGGGTTCTCGGGGTTCTCGTGTTGGGAATTAAAATCACGAGATTTGCTCGTCAGACTCACACTGCATGGAGAGGAATGAAGAGGATGAAGGAGGTGGAGGGGGCTGTCTAGATTAATAGAATAGGATGGGTTTTATTTATATGAGCGTGTAATGTTGTACTGAGATGGCGGTTTTGGAAAGATCATTGTGTTACGCAGTGAAGGCTCTGAAATACAACTAGTAATGTGCAATTATATCTTCGGAGTATCTATTAGGAGTTCGATCAATGCTACGTTACGGGTGTGGCTGTGAGGGGAAGGGAGGGAACCGGTACGAGCCGTCCATGATGCATTGTTTAGTTCGATATCAATGTTCGCAAAACGAAAAGCCAGTCCCAGTCCTCTAGGATCAACGGGCGGAGATCCTCAATTTTGATGAATCGGCTATGCTACACAAAGACTACTTCAATCACTATTAATGATAGCAAGTAAATGAGTACCTAGTCTCAAAATTCCTACAACATAGGGATTAGCGAAGATAGGGGTTGTTCAGATGCAATGTGCCAGGAACGGAAGGATTGACGGTGACATGACCGACCACGATATCTTCAATTGAGTGAAACCCCAAGCTTTTGATAAGGATTCTTCATCGCATAGAAGAAATTCAGATGGAAAGTTAAGAAATTGACCGATGAAAGCTGTAAAAGACATGTTCTACGGGAATGCCTCGACTTCGGCCAAATCAGATGCTTCTGATTCAACCAGTTCGTTTTAGGGTGGAAGCTCTGAAGAGAGGAATCCAAAGCCTGTGGACGATGCTGGGAATGAAACATCCCACGAGAATACCTCCTTTTCGGTCATATCTAGTGCTTCCGATACAGACGATGCATCTGGGAATTGAAGCTCCAAGGAGAGAAGACGGTTAGACCTCAGACGAGAAGGATTAATCCGTGGTGATATTATTCCATCCCCAAGGCAACATGATACGTAGTACTTTGCTCAAATAATACTTGATGGATTGGTGATCTACGGAAAGAAGAAAGAAAGGTTCAAGAACCAGTATCTGAGATTTGAAGCTGTTGTCAAACAAGCTGAAGGTTCAACCTCAATGCCCCTTTTCATTGAAGCTGTGAATGAATAAAACAGAAGGATTGGCCAAGATAATGCATCAGAAGGAACAGAAAACACTATCACATTTGAACAAGCAACTATATCTACAAGATAGAACTCGCGAAGGATGAGATGATGCCAATGTAACCTGTCTCGTCTAGAACAATAAAATGGTAGTACCCAGGCATTAGCGACTTGTTCTAGCCCATAAAAATAGCATATCGGCCAAAACTTTAACCTAAATGCCGATTGATCTTCAGCCTTACCAAACCACTAAAAATTCCAACAAACGATCTGATTGAACTACCACTCTACATACAACCCAGCTCAGCCTCGAACAGCTGTGACTCTTCAATCTCAAATAATATATCGCATTTACACAATCCCACATTCACATCAAGATCAATATACATAGCCAATCGACAAAATGAGCGGTCCCGTCCACGATATCCAAGCTCCTGGTATCCAGGCACAGGGCGAAATATTATTTCACATGCGAAGAGAAGTCGCGCAACTACTCAATCGATCCAATCCCAGTTTCCCCGGCGCACAGCCTGTCAGTTTCACCAGACGTCATCTCGATGAATTGACGCGACAAGACTATTACGTGTGCGAGAAATCAGATGGTTTTCGTTACCTACTCTATCTGACCGACGATGAGGCCCACGAAGAATGTCATTATTTGATCGATAGGAGGAATGACTATTGGTATGTACCCAAAGGAAGCCTGCATTTTCCTATTCCTCGCGATATCGAAGGATTCCATAGAAAGACTTTGATTGATGGGGAGTTGGTTATGGATAAGACACCGAATGGGATGCAGCCGAAATTCCTCGTCTTCGATTGCATGGTATTGGATGGAAACAGTCTTATGAATCGCACACTCGATAAACGACTTGCATATTTCTCGGAGAGAATCTTCTCGCCCTACCAAGATCTCCTGCGAAACTTCCCCCAAGAGATACCATACTTCCACTTCTTGATGGAGTTAAAACGAATGGAATTTGGCTATGCGATGGAAATGATGTTTCGACAAACCTTGCCAAACTTGCCGCACGGAAACGATGGCTTGATTTTTACATGCAGGAGCTCGGAATACAAGCATGGAACAGATCAGAATATATTGAAATGGAAACCCGAAAATGAGAATAGTATCGATTTCAAACTCGGGCTCGATTTTCCCACCGTTGAACCCGATGCGATGGATCTCGCAGAAGGGAACACAGATCCATATGTTGATTACGATGCGATTCCAGTCTGTAACCTATTCGTCAATGCAGGAAATGGAAAGGATGAATGGTATGGAACTATGCATCTAGAATCAGAGGAATGGGAGAAGTTGAAGGAACTCAACGAACCGCTCAACGACCGAATAGTAGAATGCTACATGGATGACAAGAAGAGATGGAGATACATGAAGTTCAGAGACGATAAGGAAGTTGCAAATCATACAAGCACGGTGGAGAGCGTTATTGAAAGTATTAGGGATCGTGTGACGGAGAAGGATTTAATTGCCGCTGCACCTCGAATCAGGGATGCATGGAAGAGGAGAGATGCGGAGAAGAAAGCCGCCGCCGCCGCTGCTGCTGCTGCATGAGTATGTAATGAGGGATCTAATTGACAGCTAAGGGTACAAAAATCTCATGAGGCATGTTTCTTTTGGAGATAATCTCAGGCGTTGGGCAACCGGAAAAGAAATCTTAATTGTATCTTATTGTATAATACATGGAACAGCTATTACCAACTGGTGTAAGCTAAAGGGGAATGGAGCAAACGATAGGAAATGATACCCCTTTGACAACTATTGATGTTGAACGCGAAAGTTACTATGAGCGTGCTCTTTTGGGTGCAGATATCAGAAGTACTCCCAAATCCAGCTTTTACCTTCTGCTTGTAACTCATTGTTGACTCCACATCAAAGATTGGAGAGTGACGTCTACTTTCGCCGGAGCCCGAATCTATGGCAACGCTTCGTCAGACCAGGTGTATCTTATTAATACATAGATCCATTCCTATTACATCATTGCATTCTGATTGTAATGCCATCATTGTGAGAGTCATAATAGCAGGGGAAAGCGAGGGGACAATCCATAGATTAGCAGAATACACTTTCCATGTTCCCATGTGGACGAAACACGGCAAGATATTGGGCAGGGCTACTTGGAGAACTCAACTTGATATTTCGAGTCTATAGTCTCGGGACAGATATTAAAGACTGCCTCTAGAGAACAAACTGCAGGCCTATCATTCATGTCGCTTGTGACGAAACAAGTATAAGAGGTAATAAAACTCGACACATTAGATACAATACTACATTAAGAATATGCAAGAAGCGAAATAACAACCATTACTACACATCTTCTCTCCAGCTTCTCTTTCCGATTATTCAACTCCCCGCCACTGCTTCAAATTATCGAGAATTGTGCATGTTCCAACAGCGGCCAGCCCCAAATAGCCAAATCCCATCAACTCCTCCACATGTAGTGGCAAATTCCTCGCAAAATTACCCTCTCTCAGTCACCCCAATGATCACCAAACCTGCGGACCAAAATGTTCACCCACACCCACCACTTTCTGCACTGCCGCATCTTTTGCATCCAGCGTATTCCTCACAATAGTATTCCCCCACCACTTGGGCGCCTCCACCCCATTAACCGTAAAAGCTACAAAAATAAAGATCGTACTCAACGCCAATCCCAAATCCAACGCCGAACTCGTCAAATAATTAAGACGGCTCCACCATCCGAAATACTTCTGCCTGATGACTTTTTGGAATATGAATCCGACAATTCCCCAACTGAGATAGTTGAGAGGAGTGGCGGGTGGGATTGCTGCTGCGCCGCCGAAGATCAAGGGTGCCATTAGATATTTGATTGGTGATTTGGGGAATTTTTTTGATAAGAGGAAGAAGATTACGGGAACGATTGCTCCGAGACCAAAGAACCAGAAAAGGGCGGAATAAATTTGACCTGGAGAGAAGATACGTTGGGGACCAATGAGACCCCATATTATGGATGCGGAGAAGAAAACGCGACCGCCTGGACAGGTGAAATGAGATGGTTGGTGTGGAGTACAAATATCAGGGATGTTTTTTAGGGCGTAGTTGAGGACTGCCACTTGGATGAAGCAGGAGAAGGTTGTTGCGACTACTTGGGCCATGAACATTGTTCTTGGTGGAATCTAAGGCCAAAAAAGGTAAGCGAGGGAGTCAAGAAATGGCGGGAGGGACTCTGCGAGACGAGATCACGGAAGGGGAATAAGGAGTAAATGCATACCTTCATATAATGACCAAATTTCAAATCGCTCACGAATCCCAACGCCTGACTCATGGTAATATACCCATAGGTTTTGAAAATCATCAAAGCTAACGGCTTTCCAGGTTGCAAATATCCAAAGATAAATTCCGTCAATACGTTCAATCCGATTTGGGTATTGGTGATTGCCTGAATAATGCCAATGGGCAATGCAAAGAAGAACGATATTCCCAGGGCAATGAGGAAAGCCCACCAGGTGAGGTTGGTGGGGAACGCAAGGATGGCGATGAAGGAAAGTCCGACCATTATGATGAAGAGAGACATGTACCACCAAGTTGGAGCTTCGGGGTATTTTTGCATCATCTGTGAAGAGGCTTAGTATTGCGTGATTTCAAACGAGAGACGAGGGAATAAAGCACACATACCTTCATATGAATATCAGGAGTCTGTTCCTTGGTGCTATTACGGAATTGAGCCCAGATTTGCTTGCCATGGTGTAGATATGTGTAAACAATCAATGAAGAAATGGCTGCAAATGATAGTCCGTACGAGATAGCAAAAGTAGTTGACAGAAAGAGGGGTGAGTATGCTTTGTATTCCGCAAGATTGAGAGTAAAATCTTCGGTCAGGATTCTGGTAGTATTGTATGCAGCTCCGGTATTATCGTAAGTAGCGCTATCACTCATGGGTAAGAATGCTGAACTCCATGCTCCGGAGTAATGAATAATTGATGCACCGATCATGTAGAACGAGACCATTCCGATGAGCGTATTGGCAATTGCATGCCATCTACGATATAAATTAGTATACTGAATAAAGCATCAACATTGGGCATTACTTACGGAGGAATCATAGGGCTCCCTATGAACCCAGAGATTTGAGTCCAATCAAAGGTCAATGGTATGAGAGAAAGACCACTCGTACCACCAAATAATTGGTTAACAATAACATTGTCAGGGGCAATCCAAGTAGCGAAGGCGAAAACCGATAGGAATTGAGCCAAGAATCCAGGAACAAAGTACCACACGAATGCACCAGCAGTAACATATCCAAACCACCTGTAGCGATGGATTGAACCTCCAAAGATAGTTGGATCGGGTCTCTCGTTATTTTCGTACATGGCATTCATTAGGGTGACGCTGACGAGATTGGCGGGCCAGATCATGGCTGCAGGATATCTGAGTTATGTGTTAGTAGATACTTATTAAAGAGTGCGCGTGCTACATGAGCATTTCAGACGGAATATTATATGCGGGTCAACCAATACTCAAGAAAAATAGCATAGTGGATGGAAAGCCAGTGTAAAGCCACAAGTTAAGTCGTAACAACGAACAAGGAATCTGAATAGAGTACTTACACCAAAAACTTGCGCAAGATGCCAGCAATACCGTAACCAATCGATTGAGTTGAAACAACCAAAAGTACTTGAAAAACCGACCCAAAATCTTGTTTATAGAACGCAATTTGGGCTAGCAAGATATCAGTAGCATATGCCGCGCTGAAACTTACACTTGCCATAACGACAATGATTGAGTGTTCTTTGATATTGAAAGGTCCCGGATTCAACGACCACTTCAATCCAAGGGTGTTGAATTGCTTCTTTGGCATGACTTTGGCCCATCCATGACCTAAAGGCCAAGCGATAATCTGAGCAATCAACGCGCCTAGACCGATCGAAGGAGATCGAAGAGAAAATAGAGTATTCATCGATGCTCCAACGACTACCAGCAGCAATCCAATAGTCCAGGCACGAATTGTGTTCGCGGGTACATCCTCGTCATAGTTCTTGACTGCGGCTCGGACTTCCGGGTATGGGGAATCTTCCTCGACTGCTGTGTAGGCATCATCATCATCATCATCATCAAAAGACGACTTATCCAGGACTTTCAACTCCTTCTCGTCCTCGGGGTAATTAGGATCTATCTCTGTATAAGCTTGTTGCCCATGTACTGAAAACCATGCGAACAAACCCCATAGTGAGAGTCTTGCTTTCAAATCCGTTACTGGATCTGATCTAAGTCTAGCCATCGAAATCCCTTCCGTTGTATCTCTACTACTACTATTAACATCATCCATCCTAGGATTTGAATCACGATCACCCTGGACTCGTTCATAGAAGATCGCCGTCGGGCCAGCCAACTTTTCTTCTAGTGAGGAGTTCATGATGAATAACACGGAGATCGATCAACGGTCTGAAGAGAAAAGAGATCCAAGGGATACATAGTATATAAGTCATTGCGATTCAATAGTGTGCCACATTACGCACTAACATTCAAATTCCAAAATGCCCGATTAGAGCACGGCTTGATTTCAGACCTACACGAAGCACCATTGATCCGGGGAAGGACATCAGATGGAATTTTGCCTTCACACATCCATGATTCCCAGGATTATGGTATAGATTAGAATAGTGGAAACAGATTGCGTAATTTTCCAAGAACAATTGATAAATTCTGGGACGTGGACATTCAAATATACTCTTCAGCGCTTGCTTGAAAGGAAAGCATGAATATTGACATGGAATGATCCCTCACGCCTAATCGACATCTTTCAATTGGCCCAAACGCCATCAATATCGCGAAATTAACCTTAAATAAGCTTCAAACCCAGAAAAGGCAATGCGTATACTCCATGAAACAGTACTGCGGCGAAGATTCTTCATGCATGGGTGGAATAAACATTTAGTTGAAGAACTAAACGGAACAAGCTACCGAAGCCATGGTACCGGTAGATGATAAAGAGCATCACATCTAGGAAGCTCAAGATCTGATCCGCACTCCTGAAAGATATCATAAAGTGGCGGTCGCATTTGCCCTTCCTTTTCCATCTTTGAAACGTCAACCGGACATCTAATCGATGCTCACGGACGTTCGTGACCGAGCATTTGATTTGATGTCAGTTGTCTGTATCAAAAGTGCAAGGGTCAAGCTATGAATTCCGGAAGTCATTCGTAGAACTATACAGTCTGATACAATACTCAAGCTGTAAATACCTATTCGGGTCGATTTGGTCACGAGGCGGATATAATATGAGGTGTGGTTGCGGAAAGGCACTAAATCCAATATATCTTAGTTCAGCCACTATTGGTCCACAGAGGCTGTGCTGCAGACCTGGTGGACCTCACATCATGTCAATTCAAAGTTGTATTTCGGATCATAAAATCAACCACCAATACTGTGCTCCGGATGAAAGCTTCCTTTTCTGCCCAAACAAAGTAATGACTTCTGCACATATATGTTCACGGAAATGAGGTAGATTAGATCATCACATTGCAAGTATGCAATCTTTGGAGAGTTGAGATGTATTGATCAAAAGCCTATACGCAAACCCTATAAATCCAGGCGACAGCCAATATTCGCTGCAAAATATGAGCAATCATAAGTAGTGCATATCTCATGTGCAGAAATGAAGCATTAAACCCAAATCAAGTAAGTGACCCATATTGTAATGACGAGCTATGTCCCTAAAATCATCATCATTGCCACTTCCATCCTATCGTTCTTCCATCCCAGATATCATTGCGTAATGTTCGTATGTTGTAGCAAAAATCGAGGGTCCCAAAGTGACTGGACAGAGTTCGACTCGAGATTCATAGGATTTGGAAGAATGATGAAATATTGTAATATTCTATCACCTTTTGATGACTCACTATGAATCACTTGTCGCCATCGATCTTGAAACTATTCAGGCAATCTGGCGGCGTAGAAAACACCATCAGTTACATACCACTACATGATGAAACCACTGATCAGCGATATACCAAAATCACTACGAAGCATGAAACTTACTCTAATCTTGCCGATATCACCACTGTCAATTGTCATTCTGTTTCTCTGAGTCCAGGTATCATCGAGCTCCCGAACCCAATACATGCGGAAAGGATCATCATCAGATGGTTTCATATCTTGCTTCTTGCTCGCCTCTGGTATCTGCATCTGTTGCAATTGAATTTCACTACCGGTAGCTCCGTATGTGCCCATGGCAGGCTGGGGAACATAGCCTGCGCCGAAAGGTACTTGTTGATTGTTTCCTGCGAATTGAAGATACGGGTTGTGGGAGTAAGGTTGAAAGACGGGTTGAGGGTAAACATGTTGATGTTGTTGAGCTGCCTATAGTGAAGAAGACGTCTTAGCAATGAAGACAAGAACTTGCGATGTTGATGTAAGAGAAGAGTTTCATGCGCTACTTGCGCAAAAGCAAGGTGATTAGAGAAGGGATCCAGGGATTGAACTTGCAGCAAAAGCATAAAATTGTTGGAGGTTAGGAGATTGAACAGATGGCATGGCAGGTGCAGGTACGACTGGAATTGTAGTCTTGGTCTCTCGAACGTAGACAACACCATTAACAATAATGGCACCGTCAGCGCGTGGGATGTAGGTGTGTTCATGAGGTCCAGCAGTAGTATCTGGAACCTGGGATTGAAAGTTTTGGACTGGTACTTCAGTCATTGTTGCTTGGATGCTTTGGAGTATTGAGATCACTTTATTGGTTGTAATATTGATGTAGTTGATTCCTATATCTCTCAGAAGTTGAGATATAGAAATTAATTCTCGAGTTGTCGCGTTCATGGAATGGCTCAAAGTTCGAGCTGTGGAGTTTTGGTTTGCAAAATCACTCAAGTATAAATTTGAGCAGGAAGAGAAGCGATAAAGTGAATTTTTGCTTTGTATTGACAAATGACACGGGTACCAATGATCAAACCCGCAGCAAATGAAGAGAGACTAGAACCTAGTTTTTTGGATGGAAGAAATGAGAAGAATACAAGAAACAAGAAAAGAAGGAACAAACAAGTTGACTTACACCTCCAATTTGGACCCATTGACGTGTATTAGGATCGAACACCATGATACTTCTATTGTCTTTCTTCTTCTCCTCCTCAAGATATACATCCGTAAAGGGCCAGCATGGGATACACATATTAACAACCTCTTCAGGTGTGGCACCCAGTGTTGATAAAGTTCGAAAAGACTTCAATTGTCATCAAATTTATTAGTATTGGGAGTTGATTCGACTTGGAAAGACAAAGACTGATTTTGTGAGAGATGGATTGTGAAATTTTCAAAGGTCCTGTCGGCATAAAGTAAATTCTGGTCATTTTTCAATTTTTAGTAAGCTTTATCAGAATTTGAAGTGAATACACTGAAAACAACTTCAGGCTGCACAACATTGAAACCATGGACTCGAACGAGCTCCCTTATTTACTCCAACTCCATGTCTCATTCTCTGTCTCCTTTATCACCAGCATATTGTCGGTAGTACATGAGCTATGAAGTGCTGTAGTGACTTCAAAGGAAGACGTTGTGCCTGCTTGAATAGATGAAAAGGGTTTGAGGTAAATGCTTGCCTTGAAGCTGGATATAGTTGACAAGCCCACACAGCCTTGCATAACATGGCTACTTTGAGACGACAGCAATTTGTGCTATCTATGTAATGATCTGCCAAAAGGTCTTTTAATTCGTGATGTGATAAAGTCATTGCCTTTGATTCTCTTGAAAAGGATTTGCTACTTATGGATGCGCAATCAAACATTCGGTTGAGACTTGCACCTCAAAAACTCCTGGCTCTCGATTCCAGCGGTGCGAACTAAAATAATCGAGTTGCCATCCTTTCTTACCAGAAACCTAGGCTTTCGTCCCCCGTGTGGGCTTTTGGAGAGGCTTATTGATTTTATTCCATTTTTCAGTCCAATCATCTCCGTATTCACCAACGGCATCCTCATCATCGAAGAATTCAGCCTTCTCCAACTCCTTCTCCCACTCTGCACTGTAAGCGCGCTCTTCTTCACGTCTATCAAAATATCTCTGTTGACAGTCTCGATCCAAAGACTAGTTGAGACATAATAATTAGTACTGGGATACGGACGCTGATCAACGGGATGTGCTTACATGCATAATCATGACACTGCATTTCGTTGACTGTCCCCACTCTGTATACTTGAAGTTGACACGGCGGATGCCGTCCAGCATACCCATATAGTCATCTTTATCCCTGATGGGTCGCCACCCTGGTTTGTTAGCAGGATCTTTACCTGTATGTGGTAATCGGTACATCCATGGACCATCCGCAAGATTGAAGCCCTTATCAGCGTGATCTCGTCTTGCTGTTGCCGGTAGTTTCTGAATGAATTCAGAATTCTTTGTCAATATGCCACTCTGGTTTGTATTCTGAGCACCAGATGTGTTCTCGGGATTCTCGTTGCCCGTTAAAAATTCTTCAGCCCCGAAATCAATAGATGGCCAAGAGAGAGCAGGCAATACAATGTTCTCGGGTGGAATCTTGCTACTTCGAGTTTCATCCTTGAGCGTACGCTCAAATCTTTCGAAAGATGTCTTGTACTTGAAATACAGCAAGTTGACCTGAGAAGCTTCCCCCCAGCCATTTATCAAAGTCACTAATTGAATTGCAAAATCATGACTTTCGTTCTCAGCTTCAATGTTGAGTCTTTCTCGCTCGAAATCCTCCACAAGAAGAAACGCCTTTATTTATAAGAGTTAGCAAATACCTATGTAACGATTGTGTGTGGGATTTGCACTAAAAAATAACAAAATAAAAGGTCGAGATTTGTACCTTTGCCAAAATTGTTCTCTTGAGTATGTCTGGATCCTTCCTTAAAAGACCTCTCGCCATAATGTCCTCGTCAAGAAGCGTCCCGACTGATTTTCTCATATTTTCAGCATCGGGGTGTTTTAGATACCATCGTATATCCTCGCGTAGTTTGTCACACTTAGCATTATCTATTGCAGCTTTCTCAACAATTGACTGTAGACTTTCATCCTCTCCTAGTGACATAGAAGCGGCAAATATAAAAGCCGGGTTGGGATCGTATATCGAAAGATTTGTCAAAGTCGCAGAGGGAATACCCTTTGGAGCGCCTCTTCCTTCTTTCAAAAGACTAACAAAAATCATGTGCTTAACTTCAGCAGGCGAGTGAGACCTTTCCGAAGGGGCTTCTATAGGGGGAGATGAATTCATGATGATGACTATTGTTTTCTGTGTTGATTCAAAGAGATTGTTGAAATTCGATTTGCTAGAAGAGGGACTGAAAATATCGAAGAGAATTTTAAATAATAAGCGGAAGAAGATTGAGCACAATATAATTACGGCAGTAGCCGCTATAACTATCTAGTACGGAAGAGTGCATAGAGCTGTACCTGAGGTGGTTTAAACACTGCGAATTGTTGATTCTGTTGCTTTTTTCACCGTAAAGAATGGTTCTGGTGAGCTAGGTTCATCTCATAAGAGGAAGGTGCAACCAATACAACCTTAAACATTCTCGTGAAATCAGCACCAGATCTGAAATTCGATGACTCTGAATTACTCCCCATACCTTTCCCATCTATGTTACATATGCCCTTCTGGGGTAAAGAGGAGAGATGAACCCGCTAATGCAACCCGCGCCAATTAACAAAATCTATTATAATGACAAAGCACAAAACAATATGTGCTAATACGCTAAAGAAACCTGGTTCTATTTAGAGTAATGGAGGATATTCGCTGGTGTGCGGATCTTGAAATCATAAGGTCGGAGTTTCGTCATAGAAGAGGGGGTTTGTCGTTATTTAGTCATTTAGAATACGGCTTTTCTTGCGACCTTGAAAGTATTGTCAGTAAACTTGAATTAAGAGGGCGCAAGTTTAAATGTATACTTACTGCCCATGCGCCGGCTACAGAAGCCACAATTCCACCGGAAATCATCATAGGTCTAACTCCTCTTGTACTTTTGAAGATCATCCCACTGAGCGCACCTGCTAGAACACTATTCGCAGAGTCATGTCTACCCCTCATGTGTCCAATAAAAGAATTAAACCCATTGTAAACCATAGCAATTACTCCTGCAGAGTTTCCCAAGAATGGCCCACGTCTCGTAACAGCGTTCAGCACCGAGTTCAATCGCAACTTTGGCGGTTGTGTCGCAGACCTCCTCAAACCCTCTTGTAATCCCCAAGCACCCCCCACAGTCAGCGCCGTCAAATATGTCACACCAGTACCATAACACAAATCGTCTGACCAGCCTCTAGACGGTAAAGCAGACTGCGATCCTGGAAGGTCCGAGAGGGTGGATTCCTCGAGAGATAGATAATCTAAAGTCTGCTGATTCAGACCTGCCATAGGATGGAGTTGTGAAGGATCTACGAGCTCTGGCCCTGTAAGAAAAGAGCTGACATCTTGCCCTTCTTGTGGGTTAAAGGGTGTAGGTGTGAATGTGTCTGTTGGTGTATTTGAGGTTGTTGATCCGCCACTAGAAGCATCCTTTGATGGCTTTCGCCCTGTCAACTTGTCCCAGAATGACATCTTCGGAATTGATATGCGAGAACGCCGAGAATGAAATTAATATCGGCACGATTACCGTGAGTTTGGGTTGTTGATCGATAATATGTAATATATCAAAAATTCTTTCGAGTACTGAATGTATCTTACATTTTCAAATTCAAAAATTTAGTTCCTTGATCGATTATGACGATAGGTCCGTGCACGCTCAGCTCACGTGCAAAATATAATTAATTTCACCCACCATCAAACTTTTTATGATTGCAGTTCAGATCAAATTACATGTATGTTAAGAGGCATTCGTGAGCCATAAGAAGCCATCTTATTTGGTTATTCCAATCTTGCATTAGAAATGCAGTTTTGGACCTTCATATAATTTCATTCATTTTTGAACTGGACATTTTGACCGCGTTGTGAGAGGAGAAGACTTATTATACTCGGTATTCGAAATCATTCCCCCCTCCCCCACCTGAAGCGAGGATTAAGGATTGCTTGTTAGTCGCTCAACCACTCAAACGACACAATGTCTTCAATAGTACCTGGTGCCGAAGCTCCAACAGATGAACGACTTTTACCCAAATGGATCGAAAACCAACCTGAATCAAATCAATTACAGTAATGTTGAAACATCTATTTTAATTGGCCAATTTACTAATCACAATTCCAGACTTGCGAAAAGTAGCCTGGATGATTTTTTGGAAAAAGCTGCCCAACCACGATATGTAGGCAATCTTCTACTCTTCAATAACTCGCTTCTTTCTGGTTCCTGTTACATTCTCAATGTTGTACTCAGTCTGATTTTCCAATCCCATTTCAATATCTCATTCGATTGCAGATACATTGTTTCTCAATGCCCTGCTACACTATAGAGATCAACCTCATTTCGTTGTCCAGCGCTGTTTCAAAGTTTACCGTGATCTCAATATCCAATCCGGTCTCGATGTTCAATCACAAATCACAACTCTCAGATTCATTCCATTGCCCCACTCTCTTTGGATGTTCTTCTTTGCTTTAGCTACAGTCTTTTTTCATTGCATCGCGCTGTTTCGAAGTACATGACATCCGGACCTTTCATACTGACTCTGTGATATCGCAGGCTTCCGGGAACGCATGCATCAAACTGTGCCATTTCATCGAACAGTGTAGAGCCTCGCAATCATCTTTTCTCAAGGAAGCCGCATATTCCGAGAAAACTTGTCTAGACTTGTTCAATTTCTACTTGGAATGGAACGAGAAAAATCAGCACCGATCCATGCGTCAGATCCTAGACCTCTTGACGTCTCTTCTTAATTCTCACCCCAATAAGTCTGTCTCAAAGTCTCTGGTGGGAACTATTGTAGAAAGATTGCTCTCCATCATCAGTCATCAAGCTTCTCAACCCCTGGTCAAACCTGCTTTCAAGATTTTGGAGCACTTAGTAGGAAAAGGTATAATAAGCATCGACGATCTCGCTACTCCTAGAAATAAGTCTCCTCTTCTGAACGAACTAGATAAGTAAGTGATTCACTCATTGATCCTGGCAGTTGGACGTGCAAATTTGCAACTGAACTCTAGAAATGTGTGTTTGGCGTTCAACGCAGCGCGGCACCCATATCTATAGATAAAAAACTCCAATCATTCCTTGAAGTTTTTTTCCCATTGTTTGATACAATATGGAACATTCAAAGACTGACATTGATGCTAGCACTACTTCTACACTTGATAGTATAGTTTCTGAAACATTTCAATGGATGAACCTTCAGGATGTTTCGCCATCCGCGGGAAAGTTCTTGGTTTCCCTTTTTAAAGTATCGAAGAAACTCGGTACTCAATATCAGAGTGATGAAACTAAAGACCACACTAGACTATGGCAACGTTGGATCAGTGAAGGTCTTAGTAAAAACCCTGATGCTCTTGAGAATATCAAAAACTATCTTCTCCCCCCTCTTTTCAAGCTCGATCGTGTTGGTTCTTTAGCCTTCTTGCAGGATCTTAACCAAAAAGGACCTTTAAATATGGAGGGACAAGACATGGAATCTGAATCGCTGGTTCATTTGTCAGCTATAGAAGTTGGGAAGAAAGCCGGCTTAGTCGAGGATTCTAGTAAGTTGCTCTTCCGCTTTCACCTAATGGAGTATTTTAACTGTATCAGATGTCACATCATTTTTGAAGGCCCCCAAGAAAAATACAGGCTGCATAATCCTACACGAAGATACTATTGGCCCATTATTGACTCATCCTTCCGATACCGTTCGATCCTTAGCATTTTCAGTCCTAGTATCGTCCGCATCATCAATTCGGCCCTTTAGCCCAGTAGCGCTCACTTTTTTACAGAAGAACATGGCTCATCTCTACGCAGATACAGACGCAAAATTTCGCAATGACGTTTTAAGCAACACCAAGCATTTGATAGAACGTATCAAGGGCGCAACCGCTTACCTCGTAAGAGAGATTGATCGCATGATAATTCAAGATCGTCAGAATGATCGTTCGGATGCGCAACAACTACTTAACGAGCATGAGAGTTTCCTGACTTGGTTTCTAGAATTCTTGCAAGGGGAGCTTGTGCCTACTGCATCCTATCAACGGCACATCACGTCGTTAAGGGCGATCTCCTTGCTGTTACGTTCTGGTTTGGAGGAGCATTCATCTGAAGATCAAAAGTTGACGACTACGCCTGACTCCACTGTATGGGCTCACACTCTAAGCATCTTCAACTCAGAATCTTTACGACTATTTCTTGATCTGCTGATGGATCCTTTTGAGGATGTCAGAAGCGGAGCCACTTCGATATTGAAATTGGCCAGTCCCCATAATTTCCGATCCTCAAAGTCACAGACTTCTACAGAGTTTGACGTTTTATTGGAATCCGTTGATCGTGCCGAGGGCTTTGCAAAGCGTACAGGTCGCGCGGACTTTGCGGATGGAGTTGCACGGTCTTATCAGATTCTATATGGCTTTTCGGACGTCAAGGGACGTCTGAGTCTTGTCGAAGGCCTCATCGTCGGCCTAGAGAAAAAGATAGTAATGGCCCAAAGAGATTTGGGTGAAGCTGTTCTTGTTGCTCCAATTCATAGCGACTTTTCAACCATAAGGTAAGTTTCCTTGATGACTATCAGATATTAGGCTGACTGTTGATATAAAGCTATATTTGGGAAGAAATCGACTTCTCTCAAGATGATTCCAAGGATCAGGAGGCTGCTGAAATTCGAAAATCATGGGAAGACCTGCAAAATCGCATTGTTGCAAGTTGTTACAGCATATGGCAGGCTGTAAAAGACATATTATGTAATGATTCACCAGAAGGCCACATTCCTGAGGAAGTTGACGATGTGGAATCCATTGACACTAAGGACGTGTTGAGTTACAGCTTTAGGGCAATTCATGAATCTAGGTACCGCACTATGACACCAGATTATAGACTGTTGGGGCGCTAATCTATGCATAGTAACCTGATGAGGACTGTTGTAACGAAAGCAAAAGATCGCCGTCATGACGGGTCTTCAGTGATGGATCCAGGACTCTTCAAAAAAGTGGGAAACTTGACTTTCGAACAACTATCTAGCCTTCGACATCGTGGTGCCTTCTCCACAGTCTCCTTGACATTCTCTAGATGTTGTCAGCTTTCACAATGCCATACCTCAAGCGAATTGCTTGAAGTTTGGTACAAGGTACGTGATTCCTCTTCGCCTACCTTAGCTACCGTCAAACTAATGATTAGGGCGCACTAAAATGCATATTCGAACAAGCATCTACAACACGCAGATCTGCAGGAATTCCCGCACTAATCACTGGAATACTATCCGCAAACAGTAAAAGTCCAGCTTTCGAAGATGTAATGGCAGAGCTGAAATCTTTGGCTGGGCGCCCTGTTACATTATCTGAGACTGATGAAACAAATCTACCTCAAGTGCATGCAATGAATTGTGTAAAGGAGATATTCAAAAGCTCTACATTGGGCAAGAGATCAGATAAACATATCCCGAACTGTTTGCAGCTCGCTGCGGACAGCTTGACTTCTGAGATGTATGATACCAATGTCCGCAGAATAACTATGTGCTAATTGATTTGAAACAGTTGGGCAATCAGAAATTGCGGTTTATTACTGTTAAGAAGTCTTATTGATTGTCTGTTTGGTACCAACGAGAACAAAGCTTCTATCGAGGCTGGCTGGGATGGGCGTTCGACGAAACTTTCATACGAAAAATACCCAGAGCTGCCTGAAATCTTGCTAAAGTTATTGAACAAAGAGACTCCAAGCACGGAGGAAACTAATACCCCTGCGATTGGCGCTATAGAGTCAGTCTTTCCCTCCTTGGATATCATTCGTCGTGCTGGTCCGCCAGTTTTACTTCGCAACGAAATCAAGGAAAGGGTATCCATACATTTGGGAAGCAAGTACTGGCATACCAGAGAATTGGCAGCCCGTACTATGTGTACATTTATGCTTCACGATGATTGGCTACCTGATCTACAGAAACTGCTCAGAATATCGAACCCATCCACTAATTATACCCATGGAGTGTTAATGACGACCAACTTTGTGCTGGAACGCCGTCTTGCTGTGTTCTCGAGCCCTCCAAGTAAGTTTTGAATACTCCATTTTATTTCTTAATCCTAATTGTAAAATGTAGGCATTCAAGACCTTGTCTGTCTGAAAGATAATATCGAGGCGCTGAGTCACCTTGGTCAGTGTCCAGAGACTTTGGCGACATACATCGAGTTCAAAAATCTCATTTACCAAATCCTCCTTGCTCTTCCAGCCTCCACTTTAAACAATGACGCTCGAGAAAAACTCATCGATAACCATGATTCACACAATTTGTTGTTGAATAGTGATGGCTGTAGCTACTCCAAAGTTAATACTGATCTTTCTTACGAGAAAAGCCGAGTAGGAGGCGCTTTGTTACATCAAGCAACCGCCCGTGAAGCTGTATATATATCTGGATTGACCAAGGATATACAAGCTCTTAAGAAGGCTTTGAACGACTATTGTGATATAGATCTTGATACAGCTACCGCATCCTTGGAATGCGTGCTACAAGCCTGGAAAAATCAGAAAATTGTGGTTTTGGAAGCGCTCTTAGATGCAGTGATTGTAAGCCCAGCGGACTTGCAGAAAGTTGAGCCTAGCGCCTATGAAATATACTCGAAAATGCTCAATAGTATTAAGCAATGCGATATGGATCAATATATTTTAGACATTGGAGAAATTGCTCATTTCATGGGCTCTGAAAATGGCAAGTCTGGACCGTATTTGGCTCATGCTTTGATGAGAACAAGTGGTACCTTCATGCTGTTTAATTGGTTGAAGTCGAAGGGCGATGTCAACGCCCAGATAAACTTCATGGCAAGAGCAGAAAATTTGAGTGAAGCTGGAAAGTCACACAATGTGAGATTTTTCCCATTCACAAACTATCTTTAAATGTTGCTAACTTATTACAGGACTTCGACACCCGTTTTGCTGCCGTGAAAGGATTTTCCTACTTCTTTGCCTGCTTACCAGATGAGTTCAAGTGGGGCTCTGAATTACTTCCATGCCTCATTGCCCTGTACGACACCCTCAACGATGACGACGATGAAGTGCGCGAACTTGGAGCACAGATTGTCTCTTCTATAGTAGGCAAGCCTCTAATTCCATTGGCTGCATGTGAGGAGTTCGCAGAATGGCTGAGGCTTAAATATCCACAAGATCAAATGTTCAGCTGGAATGTCATCTGCCGTATCACAGGTAGTGACGAGTTCATATTTCATGGAGCTTATGCAGGATTATGTTCGCCTGAAGACCAACTTACAGCAGCAATGAAACAAGATAATGCTCTGTTTGTTGAAGAAGAACAGAATCTCTTCATTGATGAAGTCAGAGAAGCCAAACTCTGGAGTAATGTTCTGTCAAAGGACCTCGAGATCCTTCAGACCGAAAAATCCGGGGAGTATCAGTGGCAACAATATAGTCATCTTGCTAAATGGATTCTGGATGCACTTCGACAACTCAACGTAATTATGGAGAAAGATGATGGACCTCTTGGGTGGACATCAAAGCCAAGCATGTTTGCATCATGTATAAGAATCCTTCTCGGTGCAAAAGTTCTTTTAGAGAGTAAAAGCACACTCTCCGAAAACATATCATGGATTCTCAGCCAAAATGAGATCAGCGAAGCATTGAGTATTTTCAAAGACCTTGGCAAAAAGAATGATATTCACCCAATTCTTCTGTCGGAAGTTAGCGAGAACCAAACTTCACTCCTCAACAGAAGATGACGAGGCTTGTGACTAGCCTTGCCTCGATATCGTCTGAACTATAGAAATTAAATATAAACGGCTTGCATCAAAATATGTGACCCCAGCAACCACTGAATGAAGCCAACTAAAATTTGTCAAACTCCTGAAAACAATTTTTGAGTACTTTCAGCAATCTGTCAATTTTATTCCAACATATCCAAAGCATCCAAGTAAGTCCTGCTTCAATGACTGGCATTTTAAACTTCCCAACGTTTATTTTCCATTAGATTCTTCATCATCGACGAATTCACCACCCACGAACATTTCCTGCCAACAAAGCTATTATCCTTTCATCCACGACAACATGCAGAAAAATCAAATTGTAGCACTACTTCTCTGTTTTGTTTTCCTCCTCATGTTTGTTATGATTTTCGTCACCATGCGACTTGTCAATATTTTTGTAAGTGCATCTTAGAATCTTTGCCCCTCCCTCCTCTCTCTACTATCATATTTGACCCCGCACATTGTTTTTTGTTCGACCTTCGATCACTCTACTTCCAATCACAGCTAACACATGGAATTATCAGGCGCATAAAATGTAAGATCCAATCAAGAACGTCACTCCCGCTCTGTCTCCCTTGCCTTCTATCACACCTGCACAGAGCTCACAACTTTTTTCTAGTTCGAACGCGAAATCAGCTCTCAACGCAGACCGAGCACTCGACGGTGACGATGGCGTAACAGATGTTACTGGGCCTGCCACTACGGTCGTCTGAAGCACTGTAGCAGGGCTCAGACTGAGATCACGCGATTGCACAAAGGAAATAACATTGGAGGAAAGACTATTGGGCTGTTTACATGGGCATCTGATCGCTACGCAATTGTATGGTAAATCTGGAGTTACTATTGGTGTACAGAGTGAAGGAGATCGATAACTTGTGGTAGTTGCTACCGTCTCTTATTAAAAACTATCTCGATTATTTCTGCCACTTAGTCATACAAGCTCATTGCCGGGACTCCCAAATGGCTTCTCATTGTTCCTATCTATTTGAAATCGGATTTCTGATTCTTGACTCAAGTCATAATAAAACCCACGATATGCTAAGTTTCTTTTATACCCATTCCTCCATTCACCTACGGTCCCAAAACAACCCAGATTGCATCTTTCGTCGTCGTCTTCGTCTGCACACCATCACTCTCATTATAAACCCCCTCACACGGAAACTTTTCACATCCAGATACATCCCCCCCTTTCTCTCTAGTCGGCTCATACCCTCCCTCCCCAGTCCCATTTCCATTTCCATCATACCCCCACATCCAATGCACCCCCTCATTATCACAACAATTCCAAATCGCACTGATATCGAAAAACGTGATATCCTGCCAACAAGCAAAACACACTTCACCCAAAATGTATTTTTCCAGTCCCGGATGTTCTAGATCATAGACATCAGGATCTACAGCTTTGAAATTGCCGCTCCAGTCGGGGACCGAGAGTGAAAGAAACTGAGACGCCGCTATTGTTTGGAGCGGGATGGAATAGCTGCCGCTATTGGGTGTGAAAATCAGGAGACGCGGAGAGGAAAAGAGGTTTTGGAATGCGAGGGTGTGGCTTGTGGCGAGGGAAAGTAGGGAGAATAGTGACATGAGGAGGGATAACATTGTGCAGGATATTGGTGGCATCTTTTCACACATTGATATTTTTCAATTATTTACATGAGGCTTCTACTGATCATTATTATATAGATTTGTAGTTCTCCGCTTGCGATTATTTGCTGTTCATGATTGCGATTGAGAGGTTGTTTTCGTTCCGTGGTGGCTGTGGTTGGAATGTGCTGATGAAGAATTGTTCTTGACAGGGGATGTTTCGAGAAATCGAGATTAGCGAGATCGCTCATCAGAATGCATCTCCTATCATTTGTTTCGTTCCACGACACGATTATCTTTTGGATGCAGCCTGACAGGTGCTTGAATCGATATCGCTGAGTTTATATAGTGTCAAATGGTAGAGTTCTATTTCAAGGGGACGATAAATTACACTTCTCTGGGAACGTTCCGTTCCCAGAGTTTCCATGCTTGTCGTCTTGGACGTCGTTTTGACACTAGATCTATCTGTACATTCAAATATTCCATCATCAATCACCATTAGCATGGAAATAGTCGTCAGTTGTCACACACACGAGCATCCTATGATATCCACATGTTGCATAATCCTCATGTACTTTCACAACCCCCATTTATTATGCTGGCAGAAGACTCCTCTCCCACACTGCCGACCTGCAAAATACATAGCTGTGAATCAAACATCATACCATGGTCCCTTTTCAGAGCGCAAGATCTTGGCATGATAGTTGGGGACCGCTGATGAATTGTGCCACATATCAGCACTATAACCCTGTTTCAATTCTGACCCCATCCAAACTCTCCTGATCTCTTTTATACATCTTCAACCCAGCAAAAATGTCGAAAGACACTAATAACGCTGAGGATTTGAGTTCCTTAGAAGAATTAACCGAGTCGATAGGTTCCCATGCTGAACGGGAATCTTCTCCTCAACTGGAATCACGTCGATATTGCTTCCAAACATCCCATCTACTCACGAATTATCCGCGATGAAACCGCACAATACACATCCCGCATTCTAAATCCCACTCACCAAGCATCTTTTACTCAGCACCTCTCGTCCTCCTATCCTTTTCTAAATTCCAAATCTCAAAAACCACACCTAAACTCCAAGCAACAAGTATTATAAGAAAGTAAATATCTCCTATAATATTCCATCGCTCAAAACCGTCATCTTAAATGAAAGTCTATATCACCAATGTCCCAAACAGCCAGTCATAAACAAACAAAAGACCCTCCCAAAAACGAGGAGGACGCTGAGTTGAAATCAGAAACAACCGCAACCCAAGTTCTTGGATATCCCAAATTGGTTCAAGTGTTAAAGAGCCAGGTATATCCCTATCGTAAGAATGAGGTGCAAATTTACCATCTTGGGATCCCAGTCACATTCAAAGAATATCCTGCAATTGATATTTTGAAAATCCGAATGGATAAGAATGGAAGGCTACATTCTTATAACAGAGTGAGGTAGAGAAGTACACATCTTGTATTCCAGATCACACTTTAAGAATATTCTCAAACCAGTACCTCAAACATACCAATTGGTTTGGACCAATCAAAGTTACATCTAGAAGACAGACGCAAAGGTATTCATCAATATTCATTAGGTCTATAAGTGTTTCTCATCATGTGTCTCCAACCCAACTGCCATCTTTCTTTTTCTTGCCATCGCTCCTGCCTTCTGAGATCCAAGTCTCGACCAAACCCTGCTTAGGATCTTCATCTTCATAACCTAAGCTCCTTCTTACTTTGAGCACTTCCTGCCTAACTCTGATTGTGACTTCTTCACGTAACGCAACTGCCTCTTTGTAGTATTTAAGACCTTCCGTAAGTTCTCCCATCTCGATATTGTCGTCCAGACCCTTTCTCCTTAGTGCCTCCTTTTGTAATTGGACAAGCTTTTGCCAGCGAAGGCGGAGGTCTCCGAATATGCGCTCTCCGTCAATTGATCCTCCAAAGGCAATACGGACGTTCCTGCCAACACGAGGAAGGAAGCGTGGAAACTCTCTCGATTCGTGCATTATGTCCTGATTACCATCGATAAAGATGGGAACGATCTCGGGTAAAGGTTCGCTTTCGAGAATAAGTCGCGACACTCCCCATTTAAAATAACGTAACGTCTTGTTTGGATGCTGGTGCACTCGTCCTTCAGGAAATATATGTATCCAACTGTGTCTTCGTGACGTATATGCGGAGGGTGCAGGAAATACATCTATGCCATTTGTAGTAAAGGTAAGGTCGCCAGAAGAGAAAGGATCGACAATATCAGGATCTTTTGGTCGCATAGATATTTTCTTCTTTGGTTGTTGTATCGGTGGTTCGTAACGTGTAGTAAAAGGCTGCGCGGAAAGCATTCGTATGGCTTGTGCGATTGTAGGCTGAAAGAGACCGCCATTCTCGGAGTATGCGCCTCGATGCGTAGGTAAAACTTGGCCCAAGGTGAAGAACGCGGAGAGGACTCTGTAGAACAATCAATAATAGTAATGGCAGATGATTGGTGGGTTCGCAGACTTGTTCTCGAAGCAGATATCATAGCTACCAAGACTCCATCTGTGATTGAAGGGATTGAAACCATATTTGAGAGGCAATACACCCCATATTAATGGATCATCCAAGACGCTGACATGATTCGAGACGGTAATTAAGCCTCTTTCTCTCTCCTCGGGGTTCTTTCGTCTATCGAGCGTGGCCTTGAATCCTTCTAGCCCAATAGTCTCAACGTTATTCAGACCATAGTAAAAGAATCGGGATATCGCTCCTGTGACGCCCATGATCAGGCTCGAGCTGAATCGCCATGGTAGACTTGGTTTTGTAGGAGGATCGGATTCGAGTTTGTTATACGAGGATGCTACCATGATGAGAGAACAATAATTATACAAGAAAAGAATTTCATAGGGTCGTAAATAGGAATTTATAATGAATGTGGTAAGTGAAAAGATTGAAAAGTTAAGAATGCCATGCCAATACCATGCATGATCAACTTTTTCAAGTTGATTGGAGGAAAAAAAGTGACGTCGCGGGCGCTCAATCGTTAACCGATATCCCTACATCGTGCACGTCCCTGTATTGTGCACGCTTTTTTAGCTTTCAAAAACATCAATATCACTATCTAAATATCACAATAATATATTTTCAGAAAGCTGTATAAAGTTTATGCTAAATTATATTAAAGATTAAAAATATTTTAAATATATTTAGATAACTTATTTATATAAAATCGATTATATTACATTCTTAAAACAATATAAAAGCAAAACTATTTCCTATAAAATAAATTATATTAATATATATCAATATTTTTTATTAAAATAGGAAAAAGCTTTATTAAATTAAATTAATAAATTAATATAAAGATCTATATTTTTTATAAATATTATAATTAGAAACTTAATAAAAAAAATAAAAGAATATTATATAAAGAAGAATTAAATAACCAATTTTATTAAATAATATAAAAATTATATTCAAAATCGATATCTTTATTACATTAATAATTTATATATCAAAATCAATAATATAAATATATTTGAATACTTTTATAATTTTATTAATATTATTTTATATTATTATTAATTTATACTATTTAAAAAAAAATTTATTAATTTCTTTTTTTTATTTATTAAATTAATAAAAATAATTATAAAATATAATATTATATCAAAAAATATATATAATTAAAATGAGAAAGGATTCTTGATTGATTTTGAAAAAGTTATAAAAAGAATAATAAATATTAATATATATAAAAGAAACAAAATTATAAAAACTAAATAAAATAAATCAAAAGAGTTTATTACTTTTTTAATATATATAATTATTAATAGTATAATTTTCCTATCTATTTTAATCTATAAAGGAAAATCAAACAATTTATAAAATATATAAATTAATAAGGTGAGCATAAAAGATTAAGCTTATTTTGGAATTTCAAGTAATAAGTGATTATCTAATGCTTTTAGGTTTAATTAGTTTATAAAAGTCTTTCAATATTATATATATCTAAAAGCAAATAAAGGATATTAGTTATTAATTATAAATAATTATTTTAATTATATTAATATAGAATTTATATTAAAATATAATAAATTAAAGATTATATTATTGATTTTGCCTTTCTATTCTATATATCAATTATAATTATTTAATATGGACTATTTTCTTTTTTTTTTAATAAATTATAATATAGAACTCAATAATTGGATATATAAAAATAAGGATTTAATTAATATATCAAAATATAATTTTTGGGTTATTTTAAAGTAATTTAAATTTAATTTGTGATTTCCTATAATATATTATAATTCTTTAAAAAAGTGGGTATTTATTTATTTAATAAAAAGGTTATTATATTTAATATAAAATTAGAAAAAGTTTCTATATCATTTATATTAATATAATTTATAGAAAATAAAATTAAGATATTATATATATTAAAAGTTTTATATCAATTTAAATTAGAATTTTAATAAAATCAGAATCTCAAGATTATTTTGAAGTTTTTTAAGATTATTTTTGTTAATATAACTAAAACTAATATTCAATTATATAAAATAAAAGATTTAGAAAAGATTCTAAAAATGGAAAAAAAAAAAGGATTTATTTTAAATATTTAAATCTTATAGAAAAAAAAACTAATAATACTTTTTTATATTTCTTTTTTTAAATTAAAAAAACTAGAATTATTTAATTAAAGAAAAAGCTTGTTATAAAATAAGAAAATAAAATTAAGATATAGAAAAAGATTAATAAAAAAGTTAAAAAGAAAAAAAAGATAATTAAAATTAAAAAGAGAATAGTATAAAAGAAAATAAATTATTAATTTGTAAGAAATATTAAAAAAAAGATTGAAAAAGTTTGTAAATCAATAGAATCTTTTATTAAAAGAGATTTAAAGCTTTAAAAAGATTTATATATTATAGATTTAATATTTAAGGAAATTATAGAGCTCTTTAATATAATAATAATAAATAAATTAATAATAAAAAAAAAGAAAAGGATTATATAATCAAAACAAGGCTAATAAATCAAAATTTCTATAAAATTTAAATAAGAAAGTTTTAAATATTCTTTTTTAATTTATTATATTTTATTATACTTTTAAATAATTTATAGCTTTATATCTTATTGAATGCATTTATTATTAAATATTGAAGTTATTATAGAATGAGTTTAAAAACGTGCACGATACAGGGACGTGCATGATGTAGGGATATCGGTTAATTTAGGTTGGGACCTGCTTTGCACCCCACGTGCGGCCGCTAGTTTCGAGTAAAATGACTTCCAAGGTTTGGCGAGAAATTAACCATAACCACAACGACAGCCAAACTTCATTTTCATGTAGTTAGCAATTTCTTAGTATTGACCTACCATTTTGTATTAGATGCTAGGTAAACTTATTTATGTGAAAGTATCAAATATGAACAATCTTCATCAAAGTAAATGCGGAGGATAACCCGACCACTAGCCAGCATAAATCTAGACGACATTCATCCATGGCGATTTCTTCAACTTTCTACACGTTCGGCAGGTACCAGACAATGACATTCTCTTGGGCGTCGGAAGCTACTTATATATCCCACAGAAGCTTGTAAAATGATGATAGGAAATACAACCATTCGAAGTTCCACCCACTCTAAGGTCTGGTAAAAGTGTGATCTAATGCCCATCAAGTGTCACGTCAAGATAGTTCGCGTATTTGCAAGATATGTCAGAATGATTGGTGCATTCAACTGAGACACTATCTCATAGATAATGACATTGTAGTATTAAATCTTTGAGATATCTAGAGTGTCTTCAACTAGGCATTGAAGGTTTCGATTGTAGCATGCACTTCTTAAGTCACGCCAGGAAACTGAAACATTACCACATTTTGTACCTGTCTCTCAAAGTTGTATTATCATCATAGATATTGAGGACATCGATATAACTGGGTCTACATGAATGGCTTTCTCTGGGGCTGCCTATTTTTATTCGTTGCAGGAACCTAGCAGATGTTAGATAAATCAAGCTTGATCCGGCAATTGAAGATCGACTCTCGCATGATCTTTCCTGATCAGTGAGACATTTTGATTTAAACGATTAAAATCTTTCCATGCTACTCGGAAAAGTACCTGGAATAATGGTATATAGAACAGAAATCAAGTGTACATTACATTCTTCAGACAAACTCATAATCACCTTCTTCGTGAACATTCAAGTGCATCGCTTAAGCTACCCAGTAAGTAGTTCTACATTCTTCATAATCCGCTTCTTCCACATTGGCATTCCTCACAATCGCGCCTAATAATCTACTTGAATTACCTAGGTATGTAAACAGTAATGACTTCATACACTTACGCAAATTAGGCCACACCTCCCTTCATGCTCCTCGTTATGACAACAATTTAATCTTTCGTAGCCTTCAAAGGGAGAATGTTGGAAAATCCCCTCCCTTCTTTCCATTAATCGCTTAAAAAACTTCAAAGACAATGTTGTACCTGTGCCTTCAAATCTTGAATAAACTCCAAGATACCTGTAAATTTGAAACTCAAAGTATTAAATGATTCCTAGAAAGTGTCCTTACCACCTACACAAGCATTATTATAGTAGATAGCCAGGGTTGTCTGAAGGCAAGTCATCGATTTATGAACTTTTGAGATCAAAATTTGCGTAACACACATTCAGGAAGAATCATATCTATCTACGTCATAGTTCTTCTCTCCATCACATGCAGGTACAGTGAATCAACTCATGAATAAACTTAACGAAGTAGATACTCTCTTGGTGGCTATAGTATAAGTATCATCACATAATCTTGTATGCACATGCAATTTACATCGAAGTATCTTCTACGACTCATAAAATCGTCAATTCATAAAGACTAACTAAATAGGATAAAGTAATCTGAGCCTTTAAAATCCTAATCTGTACACCGTTGGCGAGATCCTCGTGCAAACCCTATCCATCCTATCCTCCGACGAAAAATCCTAAAGGCATGTAGTCAGATATGTAAAAGAAAGATGCAAGATAAAGCAAGTAAATAAATAAATGCAATTCCTTCATTTCTGGTTGTCCGCCACTTTGAGATTCCTAACACATCGCCACACCATATTTTCGATCCATCTAGTTGTTCTACAACAAGACCCGACTGGTCTTCTCTTCAAGTAAATGATTTTAGAGATTAGAAAAGAAGAACAAGAGCGACAAAACCGACGACTAAAGCGACGGATTCGGTGCCGGCGGCATTGACTTCAGCGTTGCCAGTATAAATGGTCGGGGTGATTGAAGCGGCTGGTGGAAGACCAACTGATGGTTTGGTAGTAGGGACTGTGCCGACGCTGGTTCCTACTGCTGCGCCTAAGAGACTACCGGTATTGGTTGTTGAGTAGTTGGAGAAGGCGCTGAGACTGGGTGTGGGCTCTATACTCATATATGGATGAGTGTGGGATAGGGAAGGAGAATTGGTGGGGGCAGTAGAAGGTGAGTAAGTAGCTGATACTTTAGGAGGATAGGACATGCCTCCGCTTGGAATGGTAACACCGATGAATCCAGGAATGCTGTGTGTAGTCCATGATGCTTGGGCTGGGGGGTAGTAGGCTGTCAGGATTGAAGACCCACTAGATTCCTCCAGAGAATTGGCAGATGATGCAACTAATGTACCAGTAGCTGTAAGAGTGCCTCCTGTAACAACAAATGGTGTTGCGGTCACAGTGACAGTGACTTGGGATGGGCAAGTGCAAGCTCCTGAAGATGTCACAGCATCATTAGAAGCAACAACACCACCATTAGTGGAAGCAGAATATGACGGATTCAACATTAAGGATGCAGTAACAGTACTTGGAGGACCAGTCTCGGTTGTAGTCCAGGTGCGTCCACCAGAAGTGAAGGTTTCTGTAGTAGGCGCAGCTGGGGATGAGCCATCAGTGTCAGGAAATTTGCCAATGATACTTTGAGAAGTAAGAGTAGCAGATGATCTTGTGATGGTCGTAGTAATAGTACCGGTGCGAGTTGTTGTTGAACTTATTGTAGTCGTGCTCGTAATTGAGTTTGAGGTTGTGCCAATGTTGTCTGGTGCTGGAGTACTTGTCCCATTTTTATATGGTGGAGTGATTGTAGGAATGCTTGCAAATTTGCTTGGTGGTGTTCCGACAATAATAGAGGCAGCAGAGGTATATAAACTGGATGTCGAAGAAGCTGAGGCAATCGTATAGTTTGGGTGAGTCACAGACTTACTCAATGATTGAACACTTAAAGCAGTGCTGTTGAGAAATGGGGCATCACTGGTAGTGATCGTTGGAAGAATTGGAGCAATCGAAACTTGACTGATACTACTTTCTGTCAATGTTTGAGCTGCAGATGATAGAAGTGGTGTTGGTTGAATTGTCAAAGATTGCGAAGGCAACGATGGAACAGCAGTAGATAGAGCAGCCGACGAATCAGTATGTGAGGGTGAAACAGTGTATTGGTCATCTGGAGCGGATTCAGCGGTTAATGTTGAAGCTGCAGAAGATTCAATGATCGATGATTGAACAGCAGGAGATTGCAAAGTTGACGAAGGTGGAGCGATAGTGGCAGCTGAAGAAGATGGCTCTGGCTCCAAGCTAGATGTCACCAATACTATTGGGTGAGTGATATCGGAAGTGGCTGGAGATCTAAGAAATAAGTCAACTACCATTGATCAAATTGTCAATGGTTGAATACGTACGGTTCAGATGAAATCGTAGGACCAGAATCAGCTGGAGAAAGAAGAGCAGCGCTACATTTCATCAGTATCGTACATAAAAATCATTTGATTTACGTACCCTTGGCTATCGACAGCAGAAGGAGAAGCGGATGTCTGTGTAACAGGAGTGACATCAACTGATTGCTGTGGTGTTACCGTGATAGTAGAGAGAACAACAGTTGTAGACTCATAAGTGCTGCTGTGAACATTTGTATGACCAGGGCTAACAGGGGAGAAATTATCAGAAAGGCTTGATGCAGCCGCAGAGGAGTCACCGAAGGCAGAAGCTAGTGTTGATGCGACAACGACATTATTGACGGTGACGAGTGAAGTTCCTGGTAGATCAAGACCTCCATTTGATATAGCTCGAGACTTGTTATAGACTTCATTATTGACTGTATTGTTTGGATAGAAGTTAGAAATTGACCTACAGAATTGATGATCGGCATTTCATGATCGGAACGTGACATTTACCTTGATCTCCACCAGAAGAAGTAGCCTCAACAGCCATTGCAGAGACAAAAAGCAGAATACTGAAAAGAAGTTTCATTTTGATGATTGTAATGAATCTAAGAGAGTTCTTTCTATCTTTTGATGAAGGATACGAAGTCAAGTATCTTCGAGGAAAGCTTTTGAGAAGACTTTGTATCTCGGAGGAAGTGAAAGTACTTTTGACTTCTTAAAAGATTGAGAAAGGAGAGGAGAAAGATATAAAGAGGACAATGAGGGTATCTTGATAGTTGGATGAGATTCAAAAACGAATGTGGTATGTCAAATTGATCAACAACTTGACGATTTTTGTTTATCTTGCGTGTTAATATTTTGGTGGAGAGAGAGTTTGAGGGGAGAAGTTGTTCCTTTTCAGAAACTGAGGTGAGTCTTAATGGAAGAATGCTGTGACTTTGCTTCGGCCCGAAGGTCTTTGCCGAAATCAATTTTGAGGTGAATTCATAACAGCAATAGGAAAATCATTAATATAAATATTACTTATATTGGCTATTTTTATCTGTGAATTATGTAATCTCAGCTTATTACTAGAGTGAAATATGTCTCGATTGGTTGAAATTGTTTGTCCTCAATTGGCAATTGTGACATTGTTATCTCCTCCTGAGCATACTCGAAGCAAACATTGAAATATCATAATAGAAACTTTTCAAGTTCTCAAAGATACAATTACAGTAGGCGTAATTAATAAAAGTATCTCTGGTCCATCCGGCAGCAGCAAGCCTATTGCAAAGGAAATATGTAGGTATGGTCTGATACAGTTTTTAAAATTGATACTCAATGGAAAGCAGATATCTCAGTCGGGACATCGTTAGCCACATAGAATAAATTCACTCCCTTCCCATCATATCATACCCATTCAAATTTCAGTAACTGGTCAAGCAGATATCAGGTTGAGTGCCAATATCAGATATAGCTGGCGCCATTTCTTAACAATCCATACAATGATGAAGAGCACCTTTCTTAACCAGGTCCCAATAGTCTGTCTCCACGGCAGTGGTCCCCGAAGGGCCAGCGGAGCGTCATTTCCACCCCAGAAAAGATTTTTCTTGCAAATTTCAGAATTGTTTTTGTAGTGAATGTTTTCAGAGGCATGAAAACAAGATTGAATGATGATAGTAATGAAGTCATTCTTCTTTCCGCTCTAAAGAATAACATCATCATCTCAATCATAGGAGTTGGAAACAAACGAAATGGATCACTACAAGACCTAACACAGACATATACATGATATAAAGGTCGACGAGTTGCTTCACTCATGAGGTTGCTGGTTCGTGACAGGTATCTCTCATGCTAATGTCCAGTGCCATGGTCCCGAGCCTGCCTCCCTAATGATACTTGATCGTTCTCTTCATCGAGGAGCAGCAGGATACTTTGGTGAAGGAATTGGCTGTGGATATTGAACTATCATACCCTAGAAATGGGGAATCGAGCAGTGCTCTTTCCTAAAAGATAGCAACATTGAGTATCCAGTCAAATATATCAGACTACCTAGTACCTTTTGCCAAGTGTTATACTTAGATTTCCAGTCATCCATACAATGCGTGTTATATATCGTAAGGATCCACAGAAAAGGATATACACCCATACGAGGAGGCCAACTACTAGCATATTAACTTTTAGAGCAATAGCTTACAGTATTAGAATACAAGCACGACTCCAAGCTCGGCTTGTATACTGTGGCTGTGGATGAAGCTTTTCCATAAGTAGTAGTATTATGCACTCATCCGAGCAGGCGATATATCTATCCGTTACAGCATGATATACTTGTATTAGATGATGAAAAGACCGGCTCTTGTCTGATTGTCCAGGTCTTGCATGATAAACGGACCACGGTGACACTGCCAGTGAGAGATATCACAATTCTTTTAAGGTTACCAGATAGTCTAGATCGACTTCAAACAATCGGTAGATACATATTGTCCGTGTAAATTTCAAACAATAGAGAAGTGCGGATTGTCTATATCAAGTTTGAACAATCAAGACGTCAAAAGTTTTATAATCGGCGCAATGTTGTATTGTGGGTGATGTGCTATGTACCCGTAGCGCGATTACCCAAAAAAGCTTAATCAACGCGTCTCAGAGCACTTTGGTATTACACGCGATTTCTCCTCCATCACCCATGCAATAAGCCCAATACATCCACCATCAAACGCATTCAACCACGAAATAACCCACCATCACTGTGCGCATCTTCAAACTGACTTGAACGAAAATAATTACCAAAATTACGACTCCGCGATTGGAGTTTTCAATTGAAAATGGCTCCGCGCCGCGGTGCGATCGAATCTCCTGAACCGGAAGAACCCTCTACCAGCTTAGTATTCAACGAAGCTTTATCATGGCGCGCAGGAAAGCCCATTGCGACCGAGACTCTCTTGAAGAGACTTAAGAAACTTGCGAGTGAGCTGCGGGATATGGATCAGGAGGAAATAGATAAATCATCATTGACGGTAGTGGCTAAAGAGCTCGCGGCGCAAAATTTATTGAATCATAAGGACAACGGAGTCAGGGCATGGACAGCTTGTTGTTTAGTGGATATATTGAAGCTTTGCGCTCCTGATGCACCATATACTAGTTCGCAGGTTAAGGTATTCCATTCTCGGGCTCTTACACTGCTGAGTTAGGATCTAACTTTATTAGAATATCTTCACCTTCTTCGTCGGTGTCATTTTACCACTCCTTGCTAATCCTAGTCATCCATACAACACCGAACACAAATACGTTTTGTCATCGCTCTCAGAAGTTAAGAGTATCGTTTTGATGACAGATCTTCCCAACGCCGAAGATCTCATGCTCCATCTTTTCAGCACCTTCTTCGATATATGTTCCGGTTCTTTGAAGTCCTCTACAGACGAGCAAATAAGCAAAGATGTCGAATATAATATGTCACAATGTTTGGTTACTTTGGTTGACGAAGCGCCAGTCGTGGGAGCACCAGTTATCGATATTATTGTTGCGCAATTTCTACGAGCTGCTACACCTGGTGGGGGTAAAGGCAAGCATGGTGCAAAGGCCGACGACAAGCAATCTACACTGTTATTGAAAGATCTCCCAGAAGCATACAATATGGCAAAGACTATCTGTAATGATTGCTCTGATAAGATGTCTCGTTACGTCAGTCAATATTTCAACGATGTTATGATGGAAGTTTCCACAAGTGGAGGCAAATCGAACGGACACCGAAAGGATGATGCGGACTCGGATGGAGATGATGCCCCAACAGGACCATCAGATCAGGATCTGAAAGAACTCGAAAAAGCCCACAGGCTTCTAAGAGAATTATGGCGCGCATCGCCTTCTGTTTTACAGAATGTTATTCCTCAAGTAGAGGCAGAATTGTCAGCAGAGAATATACAATTGCGCTTGTTGGCTACCGAGACTTTGGGAGATATCATTTCTGGTATTGGTGCTGCAGGACCACCACCTCTTCCTAATATGGATCCTGCTGCATATCCTCCCGTGCGACTTGATGACTATCCAGTAACGCCTATCACCAGTATCCTCATCAAACCCAGTTCACCACAATCCTTTTCTCAAACACATCCATCTGTATGGCATAGTTTTATTGGACGAAAGAATGACAAATCACCAGTCATTCGATCAGCTTGGACCACAGCTATTGGACGAATCTTGGTGACTGAGGCTGGAGGTATTGGATTGAACCGAGAAGATGAAGTTGCATTGGTCAAGTCATTAGCCGAGAAATTGAATGATCCAGATGAGAAGGTCAGAGTTGCTGCTGTGAAAGCTGTTGCAAGCTTCAATTTGGTGGATATCATGGAGAAACTTGTACCTAATGGCCCAGTAGTCAAGTCCGGTTCTGTTCTTAGTAATTTGGCAGATCGAGCGAGAGACCGTAAGCCTGCCGTTCGAGCAGAGGCCATGACGACACTTGGTACGATATGGGGTGTAGCAACTGGCGAGATTGCGGCAGGAAACGAGAGTGTGATCGCGTCATTGGGCGCTATTCCTTCGAGAATCTTCGAGGGTTTCTTTGCCAATGATTTAGAACTTAACGTTGTCTTAGATCATGTGATGTTCGAACAGCTCTTACCTTTGACATATCCACCTTCCAAGGCCAAAATCTCAAAGAATGGCGCATCTCAATCACAATTATCTTCCGACGAACCATTCGATGCAGATAAAATTCGAGCAGAACGTATTTTGCTGTTAGTTCGATCCCTCGATCCCAAGCCCAAGAAAGCTTTCTTCGCTATACAGGCTCGAACAAAATCATACTCTGATGTACTTGCTGCTTATATTAAGAAATGCGAAGATTTTAACGGCGGAGTGACCGAAGGTGATGCCGCGGATGTTAAACAGAAACTCGGCGCAGTTATCGAGTATCTTCTTCAATTTCTTCCAGATCCTTTACGTACTAGCCAAGATTTACATAAGTATGCGAAGCTTCATGATCGAAGAACTTATCAACTTTTACGGTACACGATGGACCCTAAGAGCGATTTCAAAACTGTTCACAATGCGATCAAGGAATTTTCTAAGCGCATTGAAGCAGCACCCAATGCTCCAGCTGGCCTTCTCGACACGCTAACGCCCATCATTTACCGTTCTGCTTTCTTGGTATACAATCGGAGTCACCTGCCTGCCATTCTCCAGTATTCCAGAACCGATGATAAAGGATTGGGTGCTACTGCTCAGGAGGTCATGAACGAAATTTCCGAAAAGAATCCACAAGTCTTGACTGCAAATATCAAGGAGTTATGCAAGACTTTGGAAGATGAGGCACCAACAGAGACTAAAGAAAATGATCCAGGTACTGTGGCAACTTTGAAAGCGTGTGCAGTATTCGCCAAAAGCAAGACCGAATCGAAATCACTTCCCAAAGATCGCAAGTTCGCTCAAACGTTAGTCAGTTATGCATCATTTGGAACACCACCTCGAGCTGCAAAATATGCGATCACTCTTTTGATGGCTGCCACTGATCGAAAAGAAATGCATGCGAAGGATCTTTTGGAGAAGTCAACAAAGGAGTGGAAATATGGGGAAGGCCATTTCTTGACCAAACTGGCAGCTATTAGTCAA